GGCGCGTTGCGAAGCAGCGTCTTGCGCTCGCGAAGGGCTTCGAACACGAGCTTGAGCTGGCCCGGGTCGAGCTGGAAGACAGCCTTCTCGAGGTAGCGAACGCCGCCGTGGACGAGCTTGGTGCTTCGGCTCGAGGTGCCGCTCGCGAAGTCTTCGCCCTCGACGAGCGCGACGGAGAGGCCGCGCGTCGCGGCGTCGAGGGCCGAGCCCGCGCCGGTGGCGCCGCCTGCGCGCGACGAGGAGGAGGAGGAGGAGGAGGACACGGTCGATCGATGAGCGTTTAAAGGGAGTATATATCGTTCGAAGGAAGATGGGTCTCGACGACGACGCGACGACCGGTCGCGCGTCGGCCGCCGCGGACGCGACGACGCGATCGCGCACCTCCGATGATCAAGACGTCGAACGACTTCGTCTCCCTGAGCGCCCTCAGGTGCTCCGCGCGCGTCTTCGTCGGAAAGTCGACGTCGGCCCACGGCGCGTCGTCGCGGGAGACGGGCGCGTCAGGGTAGCCGGCGCGAATCGCTCCGTACGCGACCGCGGCGCCCGCGCTCGCGGCGGCGACGCCGCCGAGGAGCAGTCGTCTCGCGGCCATCTGGCCGTCCCTCCCTCCGTGCGCGCGCGCGCGCGTCGAGGTGTGCGCGCGGCGTCGACGCGTCCGTCGTGGTCGCCGTCGCGACTTTTCGACGACGCTGACATCGTGAAGTCAGCCCGGACCAGACTCGTCTCGTCAACAGTCATCAGTCGCCTCCTTCGTCGCGAGATCCAACCGCGCGTCACTCTCCCGCGCGCGCGCCGCACGAGACCGACCGCGCGCGCACGATGGACTACGGCGTGCCCCCCGAGCTCGGCGTCGACCCGAGCGCGAGCGGCGGCATCTCCACCGGGGTGCGTCGTCGTCGTCGTCGTCGCGCGTCGCGCGTCCGTCGGCGCCCGAGCCAGATCTGGGGGCTGTTCAAAACGAACGAAAAAACATCCGCCGACCACCTCCCATCCCCTCCCTCCCTTCCTCTCCCGCAGACGACGATCATGGCGTGCGTGTACGACGGCGGCGTCGTCCTCGGCGCGGACTCGCGGACGTCCACGGGCGTGTACGTCGCGAACCGCGCGTCGGACAAGATCTCGAGCGTGACGGACAACGTCTGGATGTGCCGCTCCGGCTCGGTGCGCGTCCGAACAACCCTAACGTCGATCGATCGAAGGCGAAGTCGAAGTCGACGTCGAAGTCGACGTCGACGTCGACGTCGACGTCGACGTCGGCGGCGATCTCCCCCCTCGCCACCACCACCACCGCTCACCACTCGCTCGCTCACCCGCCCGCTCGCTCACCCCGCGATCGATCGATGACGGGAAAAGTCCTTAAGGAACGGCGTTCACATCGCGAACGGGGTCGTATGGGAAGCAGTCTCACCTCGGCTTCCTCCTCCGATCGATCGATCGTCCATCCCTTCAGGCTGCGGACACGCAAAACGTCTGCGCGTACGTCAAGAACCTCGTGGACCAACACAACATGGAGCGCAGCGACGCGGACCCCGGGATGGCGGACGTGAAGCTCGTCGCCAACCTCACGATGCAGATCGCGTACAAAAACAAAGACAAACTCAGCGCGGGGATGATCATCGGCGGGTGGGATTCGAAGCGCGGGCCGCAGGTGTACGGGATCCCCCTCGGCGGGTCGCTGCTTCCGTGCCCGTTTACGATCGGCGGATCGGGCGGCGCGTACATTTACGGTGCGCGGCGGCGACGGAGAGACCGCCGCGCCGCTTGCTTCTTCCCACACTACTTCCCCGTTCGCGCGTCGATCGTCCCGTCGTCTCTCGAGGACGTTCTAATCCGTCTGTATGTCTGTCTGTCTGTCGTCTCTCTTCGCGCGCGCTTCTTACCCTCTAACTAATCAAACGCTCGTTAATTATCGTCACGACGCAGGGTGGTGCGACGACACGTGGAAGGAGGGGATGTCGAGGGAGGAGGCGGAGGCGTGGGTGACGCGCGCCATCTCTCTCGCGATCACGATGGACTCGTCGTCCGGCGGCGTGATTCGGTTGGTCACGATCGACGACAAGGGGTGCAACAAGCAGATGCTGGAGCCGTACAAGCACCTGATGACGTACGGCGAGTTGCCGGTGAAGAGGGTCGGCGTCGACGCGATGGCGGCGTGAGCGACGGGACGGGACGGAGACGCGCGACGGGCGACGACGAAAAGTTAGCCGGCGGCGCGCGAGTCGCGGCGACGACGAACGACGCATCGTCGGTTGTAATACCTAAACATCATCCATTCGAGTGGCGACGCGATCGTGGTCGTCGTCGTCTTCTTCTTCTTCTTCGTTCTATGTACGCGCGCCGACGTCGATCGTTACAAGGAGCGCTCTCTCCGCGCGCGCTCTTCCTACTGGAAAGTCGTCAGCCGAACCATTCGTTCGTTCGTCGTTCAAAATCGTCCCCTCCCCGCCGCCGCCGCCGCTCCCGTTCATCACTTCGACGTTCACTTCAACGGCTCGTCTCCGCGGCCGTCGGCTGCTCCTCGTCGCCGGTCGTCGCCTTCTCCTTCTTCCCGCCCTTGGGGAAGATCCCGTTCTTCACCTTGGAGATGACGGTCTGCGCGTTTTCCTCGTACATCGCGAGCTTCTCGTTCGCCTTTTGCAGCTCCTCGCGCGCGATCAAGAGCTCAGAGAGCGCCGCCTTCGTCATCTCCTTCGCCTTCTTCGTCTCGATCTTCAGCGTGACCTTCTCCTTCTCCGTGGAGATCAACCGTATCGCGAGCGCGTTGTTCGCCTGCTTCGACAGCCCCGCGAAGTTATCGTCCAGAATAAACGTCCCGCCGTCCGGCACGTCCCACACGTCCGGCGTCATCACGAGGTTGTTCGCGCCCTCTTGCCATCGGTAACTTCCGTCCGGACGCCGCACGATGTACTTGTAGAAGAACGCGCCGCCCGCGGGCAAGTCCGCGACGCCCTTCCAGTACGACCCCTCCGTCCACGTCAGCGGGAACGCGTCCGCTTGCGCCCAGTTCCCGAGGGCGCGGTGCGAGCCGACGACGAAGAGGTCCTCGCCGACTTTGGTCTCGTAGTGCACGCTGAACTGAACCGCGACGGACTCGACGCTGGCGAGGAGCTCGAGCGCGTTGTGGCCTTCCGTCGGGTCGATCGTCATGATCTCCCTCGCGCGCGCGAGCTGCGCGCGCTGCGTCGCGACCGCGTTGTTCTTGAGCGCGACCGCGTTCTCGGCCTCGGTCATCGCGGTCGCGACGCCGCCCGCGGAGGCGGTGGACGTCTGCGCCTTCTTCGCGTCCTTCGCCGCGGGGGACGACGCGTTGAGGCGCGTCGTCGAGCGCGCCGCGCCCTTCGCGGCGTTGACCGCCTTGCGCGTCACGTTCTTGCGCGTCGGGCCGTTCGAGCCGGCGCCGGACGCGGCGGCGGCGACGACGCGCGACGCGGCGAACGCCGCGCACGAGGGAGACGCCATCTTTGAATGAATCCGAGAGGACGATTCGCGCGGGAACAGATGATGAGGAGGGCGCGCTTCAAAAACCGGCGCGCGCGATGCGACGAAGCGCGAGCGCGGAGACGTGCGAGCGGACTTCGCGAGCGTTCGAGACGCGAGACGCGCGAAGGCGACGGCGTGCGGTCGTGGAGAGCGCGCGGCGTCGTGTGCGCGAGCGACGCGCGGGCGATCTCGCTTCCCCTCCGCGCGCGACGCGCCGCTTCGGCGACGTGTTGTTCCCGTCCGTGCGTATGGCGATCCAGTCATCGTCCAGGTGGAACTTCGAGTGACCGCGAGAGATTTTAAATTTAACTTGAGAATAAACCGTCGAAATGGCTCGAAGATCCGAAGAAGATCCGCCCGATGAAAACGGCCGACCGACTGGAACTTCGGTGCGATGAAAACGCGTGTCGCTTCCTTTCGGCATTGTTACTTTTCAAACTGGCGCTTATCGATACTCCTCAATCCCCGTCGTCAGTCAGTCTCTCGAGCGCCGCGCTCGTCACGTCACCCCGCGACGTCGTCCTGCACGACCGCGACGCGGTCGCGCGAGAAGTCCAAAACGACGACGCACCCGCGGAACAGATCCGCGCACAGCACCCCGTCCGCGTGCGGCGACAGAGCGAGATCGGGAGGGTCGCCGTTCAGATGCGTCAACGCGCGAATATTTCGAAACGTCGCGCCCTTCAGCTCGATCGCGTCGAACCGACCGGTCACCACCTCCGGCTCGACGCGCGCGAGGCGCGCGCGGTCCTCTCCCGGACCGGACATCACGCCGCCGGGATGGATCCCCACGGTGCGCTCGACCATGCGCCACTCGCGCGCGGCGGCGGCGGCGACGACGACGCCGGCGCCGCCGGCGCCGAGTGACAACCGGAACAGACGGCCCGTCCACCCGTCTTTTTCCGCTTTATTAGACGCCGCTCCCTCGGGCGGCGGCTCCAGGGACGTGATTCGGTCGTTCGCGACCGTGACCTTGACGCGCAGGTGCGGTACGCCGCCGATCCATTCGACGCGTTGCCACGACGCGGCGACGCGATCGGACGGCGCGTACGCGCCCGGCGCGTGGAAGAACGCCTTCGTCGTCGCCGGGTCGGGCGACCCGGGGACGCGTCTCTTCGCCCGGATCTCCACGACCGCGCGCTGCATAAAGTCTGTGCCTAAAACGCCCACCAAAGAAGCGTTATCAATATCGCCCCCCGCTATCGCCCCCAACGACGGCGTCCGCAGCGCCGCCGCCAGCGCCTGCTCCATGAACAGCGGCGCGCGCGCGGTGACAGCGCCGAGGGTCAACGCGCCGCCGCGGCGCATGGACCCTCTCAGCGCCGCCGCGGAGACGCCCACGACCGCGAGCTCGCCGAACGACGGCATCGCGAGCGCGTCCGCGACGGAGGGTTCGATCGCGTACCCGGCGCAGGACGTGTCGAGGACGAACCATCCGGGGCGCGCGGAGCAGGAAGTTCCGGAAGATCCTCTTCCTCCCGCTCCCGCTCCTCCTCCGCCGCCGACTCCCGCGGGGGCGGAGAGCTCGGGGACGACGAGGACGTGCCCGCCCTCGCCGCGCGCGCAGATCGCCTCCGCGGCGTCTCGCGACGTCGCGTACGAGGTAGGAGGCCACGAACAATCGTCCGAGGAGGGAGGCAGTCCGAGGTAGGGCGGCGCGAAGACGCTCGAAGTCGAAGTCGAAGTCGACGTCGACGTCGAAGTCGACGTCGACGTCGTCGTCGTCTTCGCCGTCGCCGCGTCCGTCAGCTCGTACGCGCACGTGTTCCCCGCGGGCAACGTCTGGTGCGCAACGCGCGGAAGCAGCAGCCCGTTCGCGCGCACCTCGCGCGTCCACTCCGCGAAGTGCCACACCTCCGGCCCCTCCGGCGTCGCCACCTCGAGCCGGCGCGGGACCCACCCGAGATCGGCGGCTTCTGAGGGCCATCCCATACAAGCGATTGTCGGGGTGGAGTTCAAAGGCGTCAGGTGGAGTTGAAAGGCATCGTGGGCGGGGATTGAAAGCGAGGGGTGGGCGGAGAGATGCGCCAGGCAAAGTCCTTAAGGATCGGCGTTCATCACGCGGACGCGGTCGTATGGGGACCAGTGTGTAGAACGCACCTTCCAGGAACAACCTCGCGCCAATCTTCCCGCCTCTCACCGCGAGCGCGACGAGCGCGCCGTTCGCGCGCTTCGGCATCGGCGGCGGCGGGCCCGCGTCGAGAGAGGACGACGACGAAGACGCCGAAGACGACGGAAGTCCGCCAGAGTTCTTCTCTCTGGCGCCCTTTCGGTTCGCTCTTCTTCCGCCGCCGCCAGCTGCGCCAGCTGTGCGGCGACGGCGACGTCCCCCATTCTCATCTCCGCTCGGCGGCTCCGGCTCCGCCATCTCCGTCGTCATCTGCCTCCCCCCCGGCACGATCGAGTGCTCCGCGATGAGCGCGCCCAGCTCGATATCCTTCAGCAGCAGCTTGACGTGGAGCATCCTTCTCGCCGCGTCGCTCGCGCACCACTGCCCCGTCCTCGTCCACGAGACGAGCTGCGAGCGATGCTCCGCGTCGAGGCGACTCGCGCGACACGCGCCGCCGCCGAGCTCGACGTCCCACGAGACGCCCGCGATGTGGTCGTACCCGCTTCGCGACGCGAGCGGCGGCGCGTCCGGGGCGTCCGCGCCGTTCGCGGGGAAGAGCGTCACCGCGTCCGCGAAGCTGAGGCCGTCGGCGTCGTCGTCGTCGGCGAACGCGAGCGACCACTCCGCGCGCATCCCGAGGCTGACGCCGACGCCGCGGAGCTCGACGACGTCGCCGTCGCGACAACGACTCGCGGCGGATCCGGCGTCGGATCCGGCGTTCGTCTCGGTCTCGTCGCGCGGTGGTCTTCGCGCGGCGGCGACGGCGGCGACGACGCCGAGGACGCCGAGGTCGTCCTCCGCGGCGTGCGCGCGGAGAGGGAGCATCGTCGTCGTCGGCGCGCGATGACGACGGCTCTTTTTCGACGCCGCCGTCGCGCGTCCTCCGCGCGCGTCGCGCGTCGCGCGTCGCGCGACGTCGCGATGCCCCGACGGCGCCGCGAAGGCGCCGCCGCGCGCGGGCGTCGTCGTCGTCGACGGCATCGTGACGACGACGGACGGTGCCCCGCGAGTGGGGGGTCCGCGCGCGCTCGTCGTCCTGTCGTCTTCGCGACGGCGAGTCAGCATCGAGGGCGACCGACTCTGCTGGACAGGACGAGAACTCTTGGAGTGTTCGCCCGCGTCGCCCCCGCGCCCGCGCGCCATTGCGACTCGCGCGGCTGTCGGGCGTCGACGAACCCGCGCGCGATGGCGCCCCCCAAGCTGCGCGCCCGCCCCGCGGTCCCGAAGGACGCGCACGAGATCCGCGAGTTCGTCGACACGTGCGTCCGCCCGCCCGCGCGTCTCGTCTCCGCCCGCCCGCCCGATTTGGGCGTCAAACGGACGCAATCATCATCTAAATGCGACGACGACGACGTCGTCGTCGTCGTCGTCGCCGCCGATCGATCCGTCCTCGTCGCCTCCGCGCGATCGTATCGCTCGCGCGCCGTCCCGCGCCCTCCCCGCGCGCCGTTCGCTGACCTACCGCGCCGCGCTCGCCCCGTTTCCTCCTTCCTCTCTCCCTCTCTCCCTCTCGTCTTCGCTCGTCATCAGCGAGACGCAGCTCCGGCAGTTCGGCCGCTTCGACCTCGCGCACCTCATCGAGAACGCGTCGACGTGCCTCGTCGCGATCGACGAGTCCTCCCCGGCGTCTTCCGCGAAGAAACCCCTCATCGTCGGGTTGCTCGTCGTCACGAAGGACGTCCCCGTGCCGTACGGCGTCACCGCGCGGAAGGGCATGGAGCGCCTCAAGTGGGCGGCGGCCGAGGCGGCTAAAACCGGCCACAGGCCCGACGTCGCGGCGTGGATCTCCGGCTGCGCGACGCGCCCCGAGCACAGAGACGCCGTCCTCGTCATGCTTCAGACCGCGTTCGATCGCATGCCCGCCGTGGAGGCGATACTCGCCGCGTCGCCGCCCGAGGTGGAGCGCGGCGCGCTCGGCGGGCACGTCAAAAAGGTGGCGAAGACGACGCGTTTCGCGCTCTACGCCGCGCCGCGAGCGACGGTCCGACCGCGCCTCCGCGTCCGCCGCGCGCGCGTCGAGGACCACGACGACCTGCACCCGCTGCTCTCGCGCGTGAACGACGACCCGAACGCGCCGGGCGGGGCGCTCTCGCGGTTGCCGACGGGGGGCGACGGGTTGAGCGCGTTGTTGAACGCGGCGAATCGCGCCGCGGGAGTCGATCGATTCGCGCTCGCGCGGCTGATCGAAGAGGCGAGGGATTCGCCGAGCAAGCTGTGCGTGCTCGTGGCGGAGACGGAGATTGTTGGGAAGTTCGCGGGCGTCATGGCGCTCAGCGCGCTGGATAAGGACGTCAGGGCGGAGCGGATGGTGGAGGCGTACGATATCGCGGCGTACGACGACTTGGAGAATTTTTATCCCCCGCCGGAGGAGTGCGGCGAGGAGGTGAAGAGGGCGGTCACGAAAGTCGCCGCGGTGTGGCGCGGGAAGATTGAGCGGCGGCGAATCGAGCGCGCCGCGCGGGAGAAGGAGTTCGGCGCGGGGGGGATGCCGCCGGGGAACGGGGAGACGCCGAGGGCGAGCGCGAAGGGGCAACTCTCGGCGGGGAGGGTCGCGGAGGACGACGCGACCGCGGCGACCGCGGCGTCTTCTTCCGACGCCCCTCCCGCGGGGGAAGAAGCGCCAGAGCCGTCGACGCCGAGGAGTCTCAGCGCGCGCGAGGAGAGGATTCGCCGAGAGAAGCTGAAAGACTCGAGCGCGTTCGTCGTCACGATGCTGTGCGTCGATCCGGAGTACGAGGCGCAGAGCGCGGATTTCTTAGCGCACGCGTTCGCCGCGTTTCCGCGGAAGGACGTCTGCGCCATCTCGCTGCACACCGCCGCGCCGGAGCTGCCGTTGGTCGACATCGCGACGACGCGCGTCAGTGCTAAAGACCAGGACCAGGATCACACGTTGCATCTCGCGCACCGAGCGGGCCAGCTCCCCGGGTTCGCCGTGCGACTAGCCGCCGGGGACGGAGGGCATCTCGACGCGGAGGCCATCTCCGAGATGCTCGGCGACGACGCGGACGCGAGGGCGAACGTGCGGTCGTTCAGGGCGTGCGTCGACGGGTACCGCAACGGCACGCATGCCGCGGTCGTCGCGACGTGCGAGGACCAGGTCGTGGGGTTCGCGACGTTCACGCTGAACGTCGAGGTTGACCCGTTGATCTCGTGTTTCCAGCTCGACGATTACGTCGACGTGGACGCGCACAGAAAAGACGGATACGCCGACCTCGAGGAGTGCGTCTTGAACCCGATCTTCTCGCACAAGCGCGCGTTCATGATGACCGAGGCGATGCGATTGCTGAAGAAGACCGCGATCGCGTACCGCCTCGCGATGGAACCGAACCAGCCGCCCCCGCCGGAGGTTGTGGGCGTCGACTTCCAGCTCGTCGCCGGCCGCCGAAACCACCTCGGCTTCGACGCGTCGTTCGCGCTGTTTATCTTCACCGCGCGCATCGCGGCGACGCACCGCGAGCAGGTTAACCAGCGCGTGGTCGTCGTCGGCAGCACGGAGAGCGCGCTCGGAATCGTCGAGCGGTTGCTCACGATACCCGAGTGCGTCTTCAACAACGTGACGCTTCTCGCCGTCGGCGGCCTCGCCGTCGGCGGCCCCGCGAGCTACTACAACAAGGCGTCGCTCGCGAAGCTCGCGCTGGAGCGAGCCGACTCGAACCGCTCGGGGATCTCGATCCACGACCACGCGGTCGTGGGGTTGGACCGCGACGCGCGCGAGCTGCACCTGGACGACGGGACGTCGCTTTCGTACGAGCTGCTCGCCATCGCGTGCGGACGCCAAGATCAGGCGCGTTCTATCTCACACTGGTTCCCATACGACCCCGTTGGCGTGGTGAACGTCGTTCCTTAAGGACTTTACTTCCCGGCGTCTCTCTCCGCCCACCCCACGCTTTCAATCCCGACACACCTCGACGCCTTTCAACTCCGCTTCTGACGCCTTTCAACTCCACCCCGACGTTCGCTCGTACGGAACGACCCTCAGGTGCGTCACTCGCTCGCGCTGGACGACGACGTCCCGGTCGAGCGGCTGTACGACCTGTGCGCGAACCTCGCCGAGGAGGACGCGAGGAGCGTGGAGAAGATCATCGTGTACGGCGACACGCTTCGCGCGGTCGGCGCGGTGCGGACGCTGCTGAACAAGGGCGTCCGGCCGGAGGCGATTCAGTCGGTGGTGCCGACGCCGGATTACGTCCCGCCGTCGCTCTCGGGTCACAGACGTCAGGCGCTGATGCCGCCGAGCGAGGGCGGAAGAGGGCTGCGGCGCGTCGCGCTCGCCGTGGGCGCGATGCTGGATCGTCCGCACGTCAACAGCGTGGAAGGGCAGCCGCCCGCGATGGAGGGGCTGACGCTGACGGGCGCGACGAAGGCGCGCGGCGGCGGCGTCGACGCGACGTTTTCGCGGTCGAGCGACGGCGACGACGTGACCGTGCACGCGGACTTTGTGGTCGCGTGCGCGGATCGGGACATCGACCCGGTGGTGTTTAAGCTGCTGAACGACAACGGCATCGTGTACGACGGGCACGTCGTCGTCGACGCGTCGTTCCGGACGAACGACCCGGACGTCTACGCGACGGGGAGCGTGGCGAAATTTTCGCGGCGGTGCGGCGCGGGCGCGCTCGCGCCGTTGGGGTATCGAAACGCGCGCGAGTGCGGCATGCGCGCGGCGGACTCGATCATCCGGCGCGTCACCGATTACGGCGGCGTCGAGCCGGAGCCGACGGACGTCCCGAAGTTTTACGAGCCGAACGCGATATCCGCGGTGCTCCCGGGTGGGGTTCAGTTTTTAAACGTCGCGTCGGCGTTTCGGTTCGCGAGCGACGGGTCGCTGGAAGAACCGCCCCCGGGCGGGCGTTACCTCGAGACCGCGAACGGCGAGACGTACACGCGGATCGACGTCGACGCGGAGAACGTCATCTGCGGGCTGTTCTACTGCGGCGAGAAGCGCGTCGACGCGACGCACGTCTCCGCGTTGATCGGCTTGCCCATCGCGTACGTGCAAAATTTAGAGGAAAATTACGCCGCGGGCGACGTGAAAGATCTCTTGGAGTACTGCCTGGACGTGAAGCTCAACGCCATCTTCCACGCCAAGTTCCGCGACGCGTACCGCGCGATGATGGAGGTGGCGCGCGCGCCGGACGAGGACGCGCGGAGCGTGATCTTGGGCCCGCGGACGATGGACTGCATCGCGGAGGAGGCGATGTTTGAATTCGTGAAGCGGTACGATCACGACTTGCCGCACTACAAGATACCGAAGGCGGCGGTGGCGTGGTGACGGAGATGCGCGCGCGCGGCGGCGGCGGCGTAGAACAGAGTGCTAGCGGTCTAGGGTAGCCTGTTTTATACCACAGGCCTCGCGACGACGACGACGAGACGAGCGCAGCCGAGGCGGGCGGCTCCGGTGTCGATAATTTTCGCTCATCAGCCTCTCATCCGCCACACAAGAGCCTAGCCTGTCCGAACCGCGAGGCGCGCGCCGACTGCCGCGCGATCTTATTATTAATTCTCGCGCCTGAGAGCTCCGCGCGATCGCCAGACCGATCCGCGCGCGATCGCACGCGACCGGACCTCGATCGCGTCGTCCCGCGCCTCCGCGCTTCGGACCCGTCGACCGCGCGCGTCCCGCGCCCTCGGATCGCGCTCGCTCCGAGAGCGCTCTCGTCTAAACCCGAAGCCTCTCGCGTCGATCGCTCGCGGCTCGTCGCGATGGACGACGCGCACAATTACCCGCCGCCGAACGACCGCGACGACCGCGGGCACCACCCCGATCACGACCGCAAGCGCGGCCGCTCGCCGCCACAACGCGACGACCGCGACCGACGCGACGACGGACGCGACCGCGGCGGCGGGCGATCGCCGCAGCGACGCCGCCACGACGGCGGCGACGATCGCTACCGCGGCGACCGCGGCGGCGGCCACGGACGACGCCCCGTCCGAAGGCTGCCGATGGGGCGCCGCGGAAACCGCGACCGCGACGACGGCGAGGTCTTATCCTTCCGCGAGTTTGCGATCCGCCACCTCGGCGACGACGTCGGCCCCGCGGAGGCGGAGCGCCGCTACGAGCAATACCAGAGCGACCACGCGGAGGGGTTCCGACGGAAAAACTTCGCCGAGTACAAGGGCGATCCCGAGCTCGCCAAGAAGTACGATCCGCGATCGCTGCGCGAGCCGCTGAAGAAAAGAGACGACGCCGTCGTCGAGGCAGCCGCGGCGCACCACGCGGACCTCGAGTCCGGCGCGATCGCGCTCCCCGCGCCCGCGGGGGGGGGGGACGGCGACGACGCGGGAGGAGGAGGAGACGATAAGATGATGGACGCCGCCGCCGAAGACGACGGCGGCGCCGCAACCGCCGCGCCGGCGACGGCGGACGACCCCGTGAAGAAGGACTCGCGCGGGCGCTTCCCGGTCCCCCCCGAGTCGTGGCACCCCGCGCGGCTCGCGCGGGACCTGCGCCAAGCGCACCGGCTCGTCCGCGCGCTCGACGCGGAGAAGGGCGTGGAGGCGAACCCGCTCGGTCAGGCGGCGGAGGACGACGACGACGCGCTCCGAGCCGTCCTCGACGCGGCTGATCCGACGGACGCCGCGAAGACTAATAAGCACGCCCCGACCGCGACGACCGACGAGAAGAAGGACGCGGACGACGCCGTCGACGAAGACGACGCGATGGGAGAGGCGGCGCCGCCCGCGGACGACGCGGACGGCGGCGACGGCACCGGCGGCGTCGCCGCGGACGTCCTCGCGTCGCTGCTCGACGCGCGTATATTTTACCTCTGGCGCGCGCACGGCGTGGACTACTACGCCGCGAAGGAGCTCACCGTCCACGAGTACCTGACCGCGCCGCCGGCGACGCGCGCGGGGGTGGATGCGAGCTGCCTGACGCGCCCCGCGAAGCCGAGCGACGAGGAGCTGGAGAGACGCGCGGAGGAGGAGACGCGGAGAGACGCGGAGGCGGCGCGAGGTTCGTTCTATACACTGGTCCCCATACGACCGCGTCGGCGTGGTGAACGCCGATCCTTAAGGACTTTTGGCGACTTTTCTCTGCGCCCACACCTCGCTTTCAATCACCGTCCTCGATGCCTTTCAAATCCAACTGACGCCTTTCAACTCCACCCCAGACCGCGCGGAGAAGGTCGAGAAGGAAAAGTCGTCGACGCCGGGCGGCGCGCGACGATCGCACCGTGGGCCCTCAGGCTTCCAGTCGCCGGCGAGACGGTGGGCGAACCGTCTCGATCGGTGGACGCGCGATCGGCTCACGCTGGGCGACCCCGCGCGGAAGATGCTCGGCGAGGCGAGGCTCGAGCGCGAGCTCGGCGAGTGGATGGAGTCGTGCGTCGTTCGACACGAGGAGAACAGGTTCGGGTGCACGCTGAGCGCGAAGTTGTTCGTCGGGGTCGAGTACGTCATAAAGCACATCAAGACGAAGCAGACGGAGCACGTGGAGGCGCAGACGGAGAAGATTCTCGATCAGATTTACCTCGAGAATTACCTCGCCGGCGCGAGAGAGGAAGACCGGGAGGCGAAGAGGAAGGGGCGGGCGGCGGCGCGCGAAGCCGGGCGCGAAGCCGCGGGCGGCGACCGCGGCGGCGACCGCGGCGCCGGCGACCGCGGCGGACGCGCGGACGACGATCGGCGCGGCGGCGACCGCGGCAGAGGCGCCGGCGACCGCGGCCGCGGCGGCAGGAACAACAGCATGCTCGGCGGCGCGCAGGAGCTCCAGCCCGGGATGATGTTTATGCCCGTCCCCGGCGCCGGTCCCTTGGGGCCGTTCGTGCAGGTGCCCGTCGGATCGCAGCAGCCCGGCGGCGAGACCGGCGGCGGCGCCGCGGCCGCGGCGCCGCCGATCCCGACCGGGCCGATGGTGATGATGGCGCCGGGCGGGAGCGGCGGCGCGCGCGCGGTCGGGAAGAAGAACTACACCGATCTCGACGCGCCGGCGTCGACCAGGGTCGTCCTCGATTACGGCGACATCTGAGACGGAGGGACGTCGGACGGACGGACGATATCTTAACACAGTCGGGCGCAGCGTTTGACGACGTGTATTCGCACGACCACGCGAGCATCACATCACTCACATCTCTGGTCGATCCGATCGACGTAAATTCGCCCTCTGCTCTCGCTCGCTCGCTCGCGCGTCATCCGACCCCCGCAGACGCGAGCGCGACGCCGGCGTCTCTCCCCCTGCGTAACTCCGCGACGCCGCCGCCTTCTTTAAACCTCTCGAGCGCCTCTCTCCCGACGCGAAGCGACAGCCCCAAGCACGCGCCCCACGCGACGACGTTCACGAGCGCCATGACGCCGAGAAAGTCGCCGTAATTATCGCTCCCGAACAGCTCGAACAGCGAGAAGATCCCCGCGCACATGTCGCCGACGACGGGAACGCCGACGAGCATCCAGCACGCCATCCCGACGTGCGCGAGAAAATTGAGAAAGAAACGCGCGTACGCGGCGGTTTGGAAAAACCCCGGCTGCGTCTTCTGCGACGCGAAATACAACCCGCGGTACCACGCCCAGAACGAGATCGGGACGCCACCGAGTGCGAACACGACGGCGAAGAACCAGTCGCCGAAGGTGTACCCGTATCCGCCGCCGATGAGCGCGAACGTGAGGACGAGGACGTTCCAGAGATAGCCAAACGCGGCTACGAGCCACGCGCGGTAGGCGCGGAGGACCTTGAGGTTGATGTCGGGGTGGAGTTGAAAGGCGTCAGGGGTGGAGTTGAAAGGCGTCGAGGTGTGTCGGGGTTGAAAGCGAGGGACCCTGGGCGGAGAGAGACGCCGGGTAAAGTCCTTAAGGATCGACGTTCACCACGCGAACGCGGTCGTATGGGGACCGGTGTGAGGAATACGCGCCATGTCGCGGTTCGCGGGGGGAACCTCCGCGCGGATGTCGTGGTACAGGATCGGGCGGCACGGCGGCCAGTTCTTCGCGCGATCGTGCGCGCGCTGCGTTCGGTTCGGTTCGCGCGATGAATGTAACATCCGCGGTCAGTCGACGGGCTCGATCGAGAGACCGAGGTGGTGGATAGTCTAATAAAAACTCGACGCGCGCGCCTGGGACTCGAGCATCTCTTCTCGCGCGCGCACGCGCGCCTCCCTGCGCTCGAGCTCGCGCTCGCGCGCCGAGGTGACGCGCTCGGGGGACGTGCCGAACGCGGCGAGGCCTTCGCCGAGCGCGCCGTCTTCGTACGGGTACCGAAGGCTGTCGTCCGAAGGCGGTCTCTTCTTCGTCTTCGTCGTCGCGTGTTTAGTATTATCCTCGCCGCCTCCGCTCCCGACTCCCGCGGCCCACACGCCGCCGAGCGTCCCCATCGCGCGCGCGAAGAGCGGCTCGCGCGGGGACGACGACGATCGCGCGTCGTCGCGCGTCTCGCCGACGTCCGCGTCGTCCGCGCGAGGGACGCTGCCGCCGTCCGCCGCGAGCGAGAGCGCGTCCGCGAAGGGGTTCTCGCAGTGCGCGTCCGCGTCCGTCGTCGCGGCGGTCGCGGCCGCGGCCGCGGTCGCGGCGGCGTCGGCGTCGGACCCGGCGTCGAGGTCGATCGTCACGGACGCCGCGCCGTCGTCGCCGCGCGCGGGGCTCGGCGTGCGCGGCGCGAACGGGTTCTCGAGCGCGTCGTCGTCGTTGGACATGGGCGCGGGGTGGGGGGCGGGGGGGGGGTCGTTGTGGCGGTCGTATCGACGAGGCGCGGCGACGACCTGACCTTCTGGGAAGACGAGCGGGCGTTCGGTCTGGTGTTTTTTTTCGGGCGTCGTAGCTTTTCGACGTCACTCTCGTTGCGCCCGCCGCGTCCCCGCACGACGATAATGGTGAAGAAACGAGGAGCGAACCAGCACAAGGGCGGCAAGCCGTTCCTCGAGTGGTGCAAGGAGAACGGGAAGCGCGGCGAGAAGCTCGCCAACGAGTTCCGCGAGGAGTTGCCGACGAAGCTGGCGAAAGGGTCGGACTACAAGGCGAAGTGGAAGTGTGGGACGTGCTCGCACGTGTGGCGGGCGGCGGTGAAGAACCGCACGGAGAGCGTCAGACCCCGCGGATGTCCGAAATGCGCGAATCGCATACCGGTGAGCAAGACGAAGAACTTCCTCGCGTGGTGCGAGAAGAACGGCGAGCGAGGCAAGAAGCTGTCGCGCGAGTACATCGACCCAGACAGACCGCCGACGGCGGTGACGTACGGGTCGAACTACAAGGCGCTGTGGAATTGTGGGACGTGCTCGCACGAGTGGCGCGCGAAGGTGTTTCACCGCACGAAGAGCAACAGCCCCAGCGGGTGTCCGCAGTGCAACATAGCAAACAGGCGTCACGGCGAGGACGGTTGCTTCGTGTGAGAGTTTTGGCGACGGCGCCGCGCGCGCGACCGACGGAGAGAATGAAATAAAAAAACACGAACGTCACGTCTATATCACGAGCATACCCTCACTACGCGCATCATTTCCCCTCCCCCGCCGGCGCCTTCGCGGTCTCGATCGCGCGCAGACACTCCGCGACGCTCGCGCCGTTCTCCATCGCCGCGGTCAGCGCGTCGAAACTCGCCTCGTGCAGCCGCAACATCCCCGCCGCCTGCCACACCGCCCATCTGGTCAAGTTCTGTTGCTGCGCGTCGCCCATCTGAGACGCGTCGGTTCCGCGCGAGGCGGCGACGTCGGGGTGGCGGGCGTTGAAAGGCGCGTCAGATGGAGTCGTGAGGCGTCGCGGCGCGTCGGGATCGAAACCGAGGGGCGGGCGGAGAGAAACGACGAGAGAGAAAGTCCTTAAGGATCGGCGTTCACCACGCCAACGGGGTCGTATGGGAACCAGTGTGTGAATGCGCGGGGACCGGCGCGACTCGAACGCGCCTTATTCTCCGCCTTGTTCAGGATCCTCTGCAGATCCACGAGGTCGCCGTCCTGCCCTCGGACGTCCCCCGGGAACGCCATCGCCTCCGCGGCGACGCCGGCCATGCACACGCACGCGAGCGGCAGGAGCGTCTTATCGGATATCGCGAAATCAGGCCCGAAGATTTTCCTCTCGAGCTTCGCCTCCAAAAAGTCCACGTGCGTCTTTCCCAAACCGAGCGAGTACCCCGCGACCGGGACGCCGAGCATGTACCCGACGAGGAAGTGCGCGGCTTCGTGTCGCGCGATTCGGTTGCGGTACTTGGGGTCCACGCGCGCGAACTGGTCGATCCCCACCGCGAGCAGCCCGGGCGCGGTGGAGCCGACGGCTGTCGGACGATGGAGGGGACGCGATCGATTCGATTCGATTCGATTCGATTGGTCAGCGTGCTATCATAACAGATGACGTTTCACGTGACGTGGCGTATCGTGCGGTGAGAAACGAACGACAGACGAGGACGAAGAAGTCGCGTACGGGGAGCGGTCTAAAAACGCACCCAAGACGGCGAGCGATATCCCGCCGACGAGGTAGGACCCGAACGCGCCCCAGTCCCCCGGGAGGACGACGCCGATGACGAGCGCGAGGAAGGACGTCGACAGCGTCACCGCGACGATGAAGTTGAAGTCGTTCGTGTTCGACGGCTTCGCGATCCCCTCCGCGTCTTCGATGCCGACTTGTCTCAACTCGTTCGGGAAGACGTTTCTTCGCTGCAACTCCGGGTAGCAGTCCCAACGCGTCGTGTCGCCGTTCGCTTTCATCGCGCACAGCGTCTTGGACACCGTCGCCGTCGCGTTCTCCGCCGCCTCCGCGCGCTCGCTCGGAGGCAGGTTCTTGATCGCGCCGAGGACCGCGTCCAGGGTGGCGTACCCCTGCGCCGCGGGGATCGGCACGATCGCTTCCGAGGCGTCCGAGGCGTCGTCGTCGGACGACGCGCGGACGACGACGGCGACGCGCGCGGCGCGTCGTCGCGTCGACGACGACGCCGCCGCCGCGGACGCCGCGCGGACGCTCGCGCCGCGCGAGTCGCGCGCCGTCGCCGCCGCGGCGGACGACGACGACGCGCGGACGACGATCGTGACGCCGACGCCGCGCGATCGCGCGCGGCGCGACGTGCCCACCGAACGTCGTCGCGAGAAGGACGACGACGACGACGACGACGCGACGGTCGCGGCGGCCGCGCCGGCGCGCGTCGCGACCGTCGAAATCATGACTTTCGAGCGCGTGTCCGTCGCCGAAGAGCGAGCGAAGAGACGGAGTGCGAGGTCGCGCGGGGTGGCGCGCGCGTAAGTGACGGGGCGACGCGACGACGTGGCAACATCTTTCTTATCTAAACTCCCGCACAGCTGTCACCTGATCGGCGCTAAGCGCGCGCCGTCGACGACGGCGATGAACGCGTCGAGCTTCTCCTGCGCGTCCTCCACGCTCAGCATCAACCCCTCCGCGGTGATGCGCTCGTCCCCACGCAGCCCCATCGCGACGCCGTCGCGCAGCAGCCGCAGCGACAGCAACGCATCCGTGCTCGCGGGCGCGCGCGGATCGTTGAAGCAGCTGCGGTGAAATTAATTGTTCATCGGTCAGTTGAAAGGGAACGCGATCAAACGTTGAAGCCGAGCGGTGGGTGAAATGAAGTGGACGCGTCGACGAACGCGCCTGAAGACGAAGCACAGGAAATCGTTCGTGCGCTCGACGCCGCGCAGCCGCCTCCCCGTGACGTCGTCGATCTCCCTCGACCCTCGCGTGTCCTCGCTGACGCTGCTCCAAACCGCGGACTCCCACTCCTCCAAGCTCGGCGCGTCGACGAAGCGGTCGAGGCGCTCCGCGGCGGACGGAAGATCCGCGAGCGCGCCGGACGAGAGTCGCCGCTTGAGCTCTCGGAGAGGGAGATCGGTCCCGAGCGCCGCGCTCGTCGCGAGCGCGTCGCGCGCGAGCGACAGCTCCGCGCTCGCGTCGCGCGCGGTGCTCACGAGCGCGTCGAGGGAGACGAACGCGCGGACGTCCGCGGCGACGGACGGCGGCGCGCGCGCCGCGAGCGCGGACGACGTGGACGCGACGAGGAGGGCGCGCGAGAGGAGCGCGCGACGACCGGAGGCGGTGCGCGACGACGACGACGACGACGACGACGACGACGACGCCGGCGTCGAGGCGCGCGTCGCGTCCGCGACGACGCCGCGCGGCCGCGCCGCCGACGACGCGACGGCGACGCCGACGCGGAGCGGCGCCGCGGGAACGAGCGTCGCCGCCATCGCGCGAGGGGACGCGCGCGAGCGAGTGGAGGACGGACGCGCGAGCGGTGCACTGGTGGTGACGATGACGTCGCGTCGTCGAGACGAAATTTCGCGTGCGCGCGTGATGGATGAGATGATCTGTCCATTCGCGTCGTCTACGAGAGCGAGAGCACGTCGTCGTCGTCGTCCCCCTCCTCCTCCTCCTCTTCCTCTTCCTCTTCCTCTTCCTCTTCTTCGTCCGCGTCGACTTCTTCCTCCTCTTCTTCCGCGTCGCCGTCGTCGTCGTCGCCGTCGATGAACTCCACGCTGTCGCTGTCGTCTCCGTCGGCGTCCTCCGCCGCGATCGGAATCAGAATCGGCGCGGCTCGCGGCGCGGCGAACGCCTTCGCGTAGTCCGGGCTCTCCATCGGCTCGTCGTCGTCGTCGCCGCCGCCGCCGCCGTCGCCGCCAGGCTCGGGCTCGTCGTCGCTCGCGTCGACTTCGACGACGTCCTCCTCCTCCGACGTCGTCGGCGGCGCGCCAACGCAGACGTCGTTTTCGTCGTCGCCCTCGTCGTCGTCGTCGCTTTCGTCGCTTCCGTCGCTTCCGTCGTCGTCCTCGATGTCGACGTTCACGACGGATCGCCCGCGTCGCAACCCGCGAGCGACGGCCTCCGCGGCGGCGGCGGCGCGTCGCCTCGCGTCCGCGTCGTCGGAATCATCGGAATCGGAATCGTCCGAATCGTCCTCAGCGTACCGCGCGGCGTTCGACCTCCTCCCCCCCCCATGCGCGCCCGGTCCCGACACCATCGTCGTCCCACCCCGGATCGCGTCCCTCAGCGCTTTGTCCGCGAGCGACTCGTCGTAGCACACGCGCTTGGCGTCCGGGTTGGAGCGATGCCGCGACGACCGCCCCGCGCCGGCGATGACGAGCCGCTCCAAATTCTCCCGCCGCCGCGCGGCGTTTTCGCGCTTCCGCTCGGCCGCCGCCGCCGCCGCCTCCATCCCCGCGACGACGTCGTTCAAGAGCCGTTTCCCTAACGCATTCGTGGGTCCTGGCGTCACCGCGAGCGTTTTCGCGACGCGCTCGATCTCCGCGGGCGCGGACGCGACGACCGACCACGCGCCCGCGGCGGGCGGCGCGGGCGGCGGCCCGAGCGCGAACCGCGCGTCCGCGGGGAGGTGCGGCGGCGGCGACCGCGGCGTTCGGCCGCCCGCGCCGACGCGCGACGCGGTCAGAGGCGACAGCAGTGACGTAGGAATCGGAGCGTCTCCTCCTCCGCGGCCGTTTTTCTCGTCGTCGTCGCGTCGACGCTTCATTCTCGCCGGCGGCGACGCGAGCCGCCCGCCCGCGGCGACGATCTCCGCCGCCGCCGCCGCGCTCGCCGCCGCCGCCGCCGCCGCCTGCACCCTCCGCTCGCCCTCGCACACGACGCAGTGCCAGTCCCCTCGCGGGACCTCCGTTAGTCCGTCGAGACAGTAGTAATGCCCGCCGTTCGGGCAGCCGTCGCACAGGACGAAGCTCGCCTCGTCGTCCACGCGGCCGCACTTCATGCACGGCGCGTCCGCGTCGTCGTCGAGCTCCGGGTCGTAAAACGGCGGCGGCGGCGGGCGCGCGTACGACTTGATGCACGCGGCGGCGGCCGCTTTCGCAGCCTCGCCCGCGCGCTTCCCGACCGTCGCTCGACGGCTCGCGTGGACGCACACGTGACACGTGTACGACGCGTCGGAAACGTCGGACGCGTCGTCGCACCCGGCGCCGTAGGACGCGAGGCACGCGCGGTGGCCGCCGTTGCCGCACCGCGCGCACCGCACGAACGACGACGTGCGGTCGCGGTCGCGGTCGCAGTCGCCCCCGTCCGTCCCCGCGGCGTCGGCGTTCGTCGCGTCGTCGACGGCGGCGACGTCGCCGGCGTCGTCGAACGCCAACTTCCTAACTCCCGATGCGCCGCCGCCGCCGCCGCCGCCGCGAGCCGCCGGTGCCTTCCCGCGCCGCTCCCCGCACGCCATGCACCGGGGTTCCTTCCCCGCGTCGAGCCGCCCCGCGGATGGACCTCCTCCCGCGTCCTCCGCGTCCGTCGCGTCGACGTAATACGGCGGCAGATCTGGCGGCGCGAACGTGCTCGACCCGAGCACCCGCGGCGAACACGCGCCGTGGCTCGCCGCCGCCACGGCCGCGGCCTCCACGTCCAGCGCCTTCCGAAACGTGTGAAACGTCGGCGCCGCGGAATGGTATAGACGCACGCCGAGGCCGGTCGGATCGTTGAGGAGGTAGTACGCGACGCCGCCGTCGAGCCGCGCCAAACGCGCGTCGTCGCCGCGGAAGTCGTCGACGTGCTCGCGATTCGGATCGCCGCTCTCGTCTAGGCTTTTTCCCCACTCTTTCCCGCCTCTCACGAGCGCCTTGGACGCGTCGTCGACGCGGTCCTTCACGTCGGTGGACAGCTCGACGCGCAGCTCGCACAGCGCCCACAGCGCGCTGAGGGTCGTTCATTCCATCATTCAAAGCGACGTCGGGGTGGAGTTGAAAGGCGTCAGAAGCGGAGTTGAAAGGCGTCGAGGTGTGTCGGGATTGAAAGCGAGGGGTGATGGGCGGCGAGAAACGCCGGGAGAGAAAGTCCTTAAGGAACGGCGTTCACCACGCGAACGCGGTCGTATGGGAACCAGGGTGAGGAGAACGCGCCTGAGTCGCGACGCCGGGGTGATTTTCGTCTCGTAGTGCTCGAGCGCGCTCTCGCGAGCCCACTCCGCGCCGCCGCCGTCCAAATCCGGCGGGTCGAAAGGCGGCGGCTCGCGCGCCGCGCGCTTCTCGCCCACGAGCGACGGCCAGCGCGTCGTCGTGAGCCGCGCGAGCGCGAGCGCCCAGCCGCGCGACGCGTCGTCGTCGTCGTCGTCGTCGCCGTCGCCGCCTTTTTTGCGCTTGCTCGCGGCGCCGTTCTTTTTTCCTCCGCCGCGCCCCGCGCGGTACCCTTCCACGCCCCGCAGCAGCCCGTGGTGGAGCTCGCGCAGCAGCCGCTTCGAATCCACGGGTCTCACGAGCGCGCGCTCGATCGCGTCCGCGGTCATCCAATCGATCTCCTCGCCGTCGCGGCGTCCGACGCGCAGCGTGCGCTTAAACGTGACGAGAAAATCAAGCGCGGCGGCGAGCTCCCACCGCGCGCGTATGGATCGAATCGCGTTCGCGTCGTCGTCGTCGTCGTCCACGCAGTTGTTCGTCGCGGGCGCGGGCGTCGGCGGCGCCGTCGCCGCGACGTCATCGTCGTCGTCGTCGTCGTCGTCGTCGTCGTCTGGCTCCTCCGACGCGTCCTTTTCCGCCGCCGCCGCATCCGCGCGCGCTTCCTCGTCGTCGTCCTCGTCCGCTTCCGCGACGACGACGACGTCGTCGTCGTCGTCGTCGTCGTCGTCGTCGCGCGGCGGTCGCGTGTTCTCCTTCGCGTCGTCGTCGTCGCCGCCGCCGCCGCCGTCGTCGTCCTGTTTTCGTTTCGCGAGAAGACCCGTCGGCGACGCCGCCTCCGTGCCCACCCTGTCCCACGGGTCCGGCGTCGACGCGCGATCGACTACGTCCGCCATCGTCGCTCAGGTGCGATCCGCGCGTCCGACGCCCCGCCTTCCTAGCAGGCGCTCCCTCCTCCTCCTTCCCGTCCTCCTACGCGACGCGCTTGCGACGCAGGCACGCGCGCAGCTTCTTCAGCGCGCCGCCGCAGTCCGGGGTGTCCGCCTTCACGCCCTTGTGGTTCACGACCGAGTGCGCGCACCGATCGAACGCGCGCGCGGCGTCCGCGCACACCACCCGGCCTCGGCACAGATCCAAGTCTTGCGCGAACGCGTCGCACGCCCACGCCGGGCCGTTCGGGTTCGCGAGGAGGCACTGCTTCACCGCGGTCGATCGCGCGCCGCACTTCCGTTCGATCGTCTTTCGGTCGTCCGCGCTCGCGGAAGAGCCGAAGAGGAAGCCGAGCATGAGTCGCGCGGCGTGGCGCGCGTGCAGCGATGGCAGATTCGCGGGCGTGGCAGATTCGAAGTTCTCTTGGCAAGAACGCGAACGCAACGATTCGAATCGCGCTTCGGGTGCGAATGCCTGGAATTTTAATGCGGGGGTCGACCCGATGAACGCGCGGCTGTGTTCCTTTCAACGATCGAGCTGAAAGGTGTTTTCGTCCGCGCCTGCTGAATCGGATTCTGAGCCGAAACTTATCTGCGCGGCCGCCGTGATCGCGAGGGGGGAGCGCGTTCTCGGCACGCGACGTTTTGGTTTTTCCCCCGTTTTGGTTTTTTGGTATTCGGGACGATTTCCGCTCTGCGATTCGTCGAGAGGCCTCGCTTCGCGCGACTCAGCCAATCACGACGCGTCTGACTTGCCGCGTATCGATCGAGCCGCAGCCGAAGCCTCGCGACGCGCGACGCGAGCGCCCCCGCGCGTCCGAAGCTGGCTTCGCACGCGACGCGCGCAGCGACCACTCCATCGCGCGCGCCGAGAGCTCCCGTCTCCGTCGCACGATCCGCACGCTCGCGCCCGCGAACGTCGCTCGCTTCCCTCCCCGCGCGGTCGCAGAACTCCGCGCGCGCGCACCGCCGCCGCCGCGCTCGCGAATCGCCGCGCCTCCCTCGGAAACGAACAAAAAACATCTGCGCGGCTCATGTTCGCGGTCGCCAGCCGCGCGCCGCTCGCGCGCCCGCGCGCGGCGCCGCGCGCGATGCACGACCGCGACGCGCCGATGAAAGCGCCGCCGCCTCCCGCGCGCAACCCCGCGTACCTCCTCTCGAACTCGAACGCGCGTCCTTCGGTCGGCGGCGCGTCGAGCGCGGGCTCGAAGAGCCAGCAAGGGCGGAGCGTCGCCGCGACGACGTCTCCGGGCGTGCCGGGGCTCGGCCCGGACGACTGGCCGTGTCCCGTCCCCGTGCCGGGGGTGCCCGTCGATCGAAGCGCGCTGGGCGTGGAGAAGCGCAACGCGATGAACCGCGCGAACGAGCTCATGCGCTTGGATCCGAACGATCCGAAGTCGCTCGCCGCGCTGAGCATGAGCGACGTCGACTGCGCGGTGCAGTTCAAGCTGCCTTACGACACCGCGATGGGGGAAGAACTCTTCATCGTCGGATCGCACGACAGGCTCGGCGCGTGGAACCAGAGTCGCATGCTGAAGATGCACTGGGGCGACGGCGGGATCTGGTACGCGGACGTGGAGCTGCCCGCGGGCGGGGTGTTCTTCTATAAGTACGTGTTGCGGGATGAGAACGGGAAGTTCACGTGGCAGGACGGCGCGAACAATCTGCTGGTGCTGCCCGAGGAGTGGGACATCCCGAAAGATTCGCGCTTCGTCGTGGACGACAAGTTCGGCGGGACGACGAGGTCCTCGCAGAACATGGTGCGTCTGCGCGCATCTCGTCAGCAGCCCGTCCGGAAGCGCCTCTCTCGTCTCTTCTCCTCCCTCCCTCCGCGCGCATCGCATCGCTTCGTCTCCGCCGCCGCGGCGATCTTATTTTATTCATCTCTCGCGAAAAGAAAACTTATCCACTTTTTTTTCACCCTCCTTCGTTACAACAGCTCGCGACCAAGCTCATCTCGTGCGAGAAAGAGATCGTGAACCTGAAGCTCGAGACGATCAAGGCGAAGGAGATGACGAAAGCGTCGCTTCAGGAGCTCATGATCACGAGGGAGGAGCTCGAGAGCGCGAACGAGAAGCTCACGATGTACGAGCGGAACGTGCAGACGGTGATCACGTCCATGCGTCAGGGGCAGGCCAAGGAGCTCAACAGCAACAAGCACAACGACGACTGACGCGAGCGAGCGCGTGATGAGATGAGTCCGTGGATGAGTCGCGATTCGTTTTTTGATTTTTTTTATTTGGTTGGGGGACGAGACAACGCGGCTGGCTGCGTGGGTGACAGAGTCCAGCGCGTTCGTTCGTCGAATTCTTTTGTAATAACACGTCGAGACCACACGCGAGGCGCCAGACGCGAAGGCAAAGTTTTTTTTTTTGATTTAACGCGCGCGGCGACGAATCGAACCGTCGTTTCCAGACCGACTCGGCGTCGATCGGCGGTGGCGACGACGACGACGACGCGGGGTGGGGAGGGGGGTGCGCGTTCGAGCGCACGGAACGGAATGGCAACCTTCCTTCGTATTAAAAATCATCCGCCGAGCGATCGTCGCGGAGACGAAGGCGGCGGCGGCGGCGTTCGGCCCACGTCAGGGTCGTTCTATACAAGCGAATGTTGGGGTGGAGTTCAAAGGCGTCAGTTGGCGTTGAAAGGCATCGAGGACGGGGATTGAAACCGTGGTGTGGGCGGAGCGAGACGACGGCAAAAGTCCTTAAGGATCGGCGTTCACCACGCCAACGCGGTCGTATGGGGACCAGTGTATAGAACGCACCTCACTCGCTCGCTCGCGCGCGCGCGCGCGCAAACGGAGCGCAGCGCAGCGCGCGTGGTCGTTTAAAGGAAATCCATGAACGCGTCGTCCTCGTCATCCGCTTCCTCGTTGCCAAAGTCCAGCGCGGTGAACATCATGTCCGCCTTGCCGCCCGGCACGACGAGACCTTTGTACGTCTGCTTCCCCTTGAGGAGCTTGTCGAGCTTGTAGGTCTGTCGCGGGCGCGATCGACGGGGTCGTTTAGGGTTTATGGGGGTTTAGGGTTAGCGCGACGTCTCGCGGGTGGATGGACGGGGTGGGACAGCCCTCCCTCGTCGAGAGCGACGGACGCGCGGGCCCGCGAAGGACGGGAAAGACGACGACCGACCGACGACCGGGGGGAAAAGTTCGAGAGCGTCCATCGCGCGAGGAAACGAGTACGAATCTGAATCTTCTCTCGTGCGACGAGCGAACGACGAACGGGAAGAGGACGCGCCTGCGTGTCCCCGAGCTGCTGCTCGTTGCCGTTCTTCTCGCACTTCACGAAGAACTTCGCCTCGACCTTGTCCGTCTCCGGGTCCGCGATCGTGAACTCGGTCGTCTCCTCCCACTCGGGGTCGAGCCCGATCCCGACCTTGGTCGTGTAGCTCGTGTCGCCGTGCGAGACGGTGACCCAGCACCGACACCGTTCGATGTTGAAGAACTTGACGTCGAGCTTCTTGATGTTGCACGCGGTGATGTGGACGCTGCGGAGGGAGGGGGGTAGGCGGGAGGGGCGCGGGCGGACCGGACGCGTCAGATCGCGCGGGCGGGCGGCGAGGAGGAGGAGAGGAAGAATAAAATGCGGCGATCGATTTCGTGGGGCGGTCGTCGCGCGGCGGCGACGCGGCGACGCGGGCGACGCGGCGCCGCGACGCGCGGGCCGCCGCGGCGACGCGAGCGCGCGGGCGCGCGGGACGCACCGGAGCTGACCGCCGGCCATTTTGTCTGAGTGTAGCGTTCGGTGGTCGTCGAGAGCGCGCGCGATGTTGAAAGGGCGCGCGACGCCGATCGCCGCCGCACTCGAAGGAGCGCGCCGCGCGGACGTCGGAGCGGCCGTGCGAGTACTACAGTACTCGACTCTGTGCGAATGCGCATACGCGCGCGGTCGGTACACACATACGTACGTTCGGTTCCGAGCCCTTTTTTTTCCCCGAGCGTCAAAAACAGCGCCGAGGCGGCAACGTTCGCCCTCTTTCAAGCGCGCGGTTGGTCACTAGCGACCTACTGCAAACATGGTGCGTTCGCGTCCACGCCTCGCTCCCGTCATCGTGGCTCGCGTCGCCGCGACGCGCGCGCGCCGCGACGCGTCGCGGCGCGGACGCGGCTCATCCTCGGCGTCGCGCGTCGACGGCCGAGCGAAGGGTTTGCGACGCGACGCGCGCGCGCGCCGGACGCCGCGCCCGCGCGGCGCCGTCGCGCGTCCTCGCGCGTCGCGATCCTTCGCTCGGACGTCGCGGCGGCGGCGTTGGAGACGTCGCCGTCGCGGAACCCGCGTCGTCGCGCGCGTCTCCGGCGTCGTCCGGCGCCGCGACGGCGCGATCCCAAGCGCGGGCTTTGCTCTTTTCTTTCCCCGCGATTCTTTCTTCCTTCGCTGACGTCCCCCCTTCCGTCTTCGCTCCCGCGCTCAGGTGCTCGCTCAGGACATCGACCTGCTCCACCCCCCCGCGGCTCTGGAGGCGCGCAAGCACAAGCTCAAGCGCCTCGTGCAGTCGCCGAACTCGTTCTTCATGGACGTGAAGTGCCAGGTGCGTCCGCGAGCGAGGCCGACGTTTTCTTCTCGCGCGCGCGGAACCCTAAAATTTACCGCGACGCCGCGCGCGCGCATCCCCCGGCCTCCGACGACGCGCGCGCTGACGCCCGCTCTCCTCTCCTCTCCTCTCCGCCCCGAAACTACCAGGGTTGCTTCAACATCACGACGGTGTTCTCTCACTCCCAGACGGTGGTGCTCTGCGGCAGCTGCTCCGCGGTGCTGTGCCAGCCCACCGGCGGGCGCGCGCGGCTCACGGAGGGGTGCAGCTTCCGGCGCAAGGGCGACTGATCGATCGATCGGTCGATCGATCGGCCGCGTCGTCGCGACATCGCGCTCGGCGCGGCGGATCGGACGCGTGGGGGTTTAGAGTGGGGTCTATGAATAGGCAAAAACGGAGGACGGCGCGAGGGAGGGCGCGCGACGCGACGCGGGCGGCGGCGGGCGAATGAATGGAAAGCTTAGCCGTCGCGTCGGCTGCGCGCGCGCCGCGGAGGTTGGTTTGGAGGATGTGAGCCCGCCTCGAGGATCGGTAGTCGACGCGCCTAGTAGGCGTGTTTCTATCGATGCGAACGTTCTGATCGACGAGTCGTCCGCCATCGCGCCCGCGTCTGCCTTTCGCTCGATCTGATCCCCTCGGATGAGGGCGCGGTCGAATGAATGCGTTTCTCCTCTCCGCTTCTCTGTCGTTTCACTCGATCACTACCTCCTACGCCTGCTACTATACTGGGGACGACGACGAAGACGACGACCCCCCCACTCCACCCTACGCGACGCGCCCGTTCCATCCCGTCGTCACACCCGCTCGTCATGACGCGGCGAGTTCCCGCCCGAGGACGACGACGCGGCGGCGGCGCCCGCGATCCCACCTCCGCCTCCGCCCCCGCCAGCCGTACCGCCGCCGCCTTTCGCGCCGACTCGCTCCGCCCGCTCCTTCGCCTTCGCCGCCTTCAGCTTGTTCACGTTGTACATCCCGACGGCGAGGAACGCGACGACGTACCCGAAGTAGTTCAAAAAAGTACAGCTGTTCCCGAACAAGTGCTGCGACGCGAAGATGAGCATCCAATCTTTGATCACGCCCGCGATGTTCATCGTCAACGCGGACGTCTTTCCGATCAACAAAAACACCGCCAGGTTCAACGCGAACGCGGTGACGCCGTTTAAAAGCAGCAGAGGGTAGTCGATCACGAGCTCGATGTCGTTCAAGATCTCCGGGAGCTCGACCGTGGCGAACGGCAGCGCGAGGCACGCCGCGCACGCGGGCGCGACGTAGTACAGGCTCTGTATCGGATTCATCGCGTACCCGCGACGCGTGATGAGCACCTGTCGAATTGTTATTGGTCAGTCGGCGCACCAGATACGGTGACGTGGAATATCGTGTGGTCGAGAAATAATATATATCGTTTGATCGTCGGCCGCCGCCACGTGTCAACTCGCACCTGCACGAGCATCAACCGCAGCGCTTCGAAAACGAGCGCGGAGAGCTGCTGCGCGACGCCGACGGCGACGAAGTCGATCTCAGGGTCGTTCCATACGAGCGATCGTCGGGGTGGAGTTCAAAGGCGTCAGAAGCGGAGATAAAAGGTGTCGAGGGCGGGGATTGAAAGCGAGGGGTGGGCGGAGAGATGCGCCGGCGAAAGTCCTTAAGGATCGGCGTTCACCGCGCCAACGCTGTCGTATGGGGACCAGTGTATAGAACGCACCTCGCCGTACGCCGCGATGGCGACGCCCACGGCGATGACGACCATGTTCGCGGACGTCGACCGCGTCAGCTTCTCCATCCCTAAGAACACGCCGCACACGTACACGAGGCCTGGCATGAGCGCCTTGGTCATCTGAGGGCCGAGGGTCCGTACGAGCGAGCGAGTGAGTGAATGTCGGGGTGGAGTTGAAAGGCGTCAGAAGCGGAGTTGAAAGGCGTCGAGGCGTGTCGCGATTGAAAGCGAGGGACCCTGGGAGGAGAGATACGCCGGCCGGGAAGTAAAGTCCTTAAGGATCGGCGTTCACCACGCCAACGCGGTCGTATGGGAACCAGTGTGAGATAGAACGCGCCTGAATGAAGGAGACGGAGAGGTGCAGGTAGGCGCTGTTGCTCAGCCACAGAGACGCGGCGTACAGCGCGCCTATCGGCACCACCCTGTTCACGTACTCGTGCCGAGGCATGTGGAGTCGCTTCGTCGTCCCCGCGACGCGCACCATGAACGTCGCGATCGAGGTGCAGAAGCACATGTGCCAGAGCGTCAGCGCGATGGGGTACTTGAACCGCGTGAACGCGAGGATGTACTGCGTCGTTGTTAGGGGCGGAGGATGAGACGACGGGCGGGGCGACGGGGGAGGTCAGACGACGCCGCGGGTCGAGCGGGACGCGAAGACGACGACGACGACGACGGACGCGTCGCGAGGACGGCAACGAAGGGGAACGTCGCGGCGGGCGATAGGGAATCCTCGTCGCGGGGACGCGCGGGGGCGCGAGCGACGATCGCGCGCGGGAGCGACGCGACAGATGTCCGTCCTCGTCTTTGCGACACAAATCTCGTCGCTCTTCTCGCGGGACGCGACGGACCTTGTTGAAGAGGATGACCGCCATGGAGATGGACATCCACGTCGCGACGTAGAAGTAGGCCTTGCCCGCGAGCTGCCACGCGGTGAGCGGCGGCGCCATCTCGCGCGATGCGTCTCTCTCGCCCCGCGCCGGCGCGCGCTCAAAGAATGATGTCAACGACGCGCCCGCTACCGCTCGTCGTCGATGCGACCGCTGGAAGTGACCGTTCGGGCGCGCCTCACGGAGAAGTCGACACACGCCCACGGCGCGCGTCCGCGTCCCCGCGCGACTCTGGCCGGGATGTCGGAGACGACGGCGCCGGGCGCGGGCGACGGAGAGCCGTCCGCGGAGGAGATCGACGCCGCGACGCGCATTCAGGCGATGCATCGAGGGAGGGTGGCGCGTCGCGGGATCCGAGACGGAGCGGAAGGGGCGAAGAATGCCGACGCATTCTCCGAGAATGCGGTCGTCGCCGCGGCGTCGAACGACGACGACGACTTCGACTTCGAGGACGACGCGCGGACGAACGCGGCGGCCGCGCGCATCCAAGCCGCGCACCGAGGGAAGGCGGCGCGCCGCGAGATGCGGGAGCTGAAGGAGACGACCGCGGCGGCGACGAAGATACAGGCGGCGCACAGAGGACGCGCGGCGCGACGCGCGATGGCTGCGTCGGAAGAAGAGCTCGAGGACGTCGTCGCCGCGGAGGCGTTCGACTTCGAAGATGACGAAGAGACGAACGCGGCGGCGGCGAGGATACAGGCGATGCACCGCGGGAGGATGGCGCGACGGGCGCTGAGAGCGGAAGAGGAGGAGGGCGACGACGCGACGGCGGACGTCGCCGCCGAGGAGTTCGACTTCGCGGACGACGAGGAAACCAACGCGGCGGCGGCGAAGATTCAGGCGGCGCATCGCGGGCGCCAGGCGCGACGAGCCATGAAGGCTCTCGAAGAGCTCGAGGACGTCGCCGCGGAGGAGTTCGACTTCGCGGACGACGAGGAGACCAACGCGGCGGCGGCGAAGATTCAAGCGATCCACCGCGGCCGACAGGCGCGACGCGCGATGAGAGCGTTGGAGGAGCTCGAGGACGTCGCCGCGGAGGAATTCGATTTCGCGGACGACGAGGAGACCAACGCGGCGGCTGCGAAGATTCAGGCGATCCACCGCGGGCGCCAAGCGCGAAGGGCGATGAGAGCGTTGGAGGAGCTCGAAGACGTCGCGGCGGATGAATTCGACTTTGAGGACGACGAGGAAACCAACGCGGCTGCGGCGCGGATTCAAGCGATTCACCGAGGACGCATGGCGCGACGCGCGATGCGCTCTACGGCGACGGCGGAGGAAGCGTTCGAGTTCGACGACGACGACGCGACGAACGCGGCGGCGGCGCGCATACAGGCGGTGCACCGCGGGAAGGCGGCGCGTAAAGCCGCGAAGGAGCTCCGCGACGCGCGCGCGTTGGAAGCGATGGAGACGCTCCAGGACCTGAAAGACGAGGGGTTCGACTTCGCGGACGACCCAGAGACGAACGCGGCGGCGGCGCGGATTCAAGCCATCCACCGCGGGAAGAAAGCGAGGGATGCGTTGGCGCGAGAGAAGAAGGAGCTGACGGACGCGGCGACGAAGATACAGGCGGCGCATCGAGGGAGAGCCGCGCGTCGGTCGATGGCAGCGCCGCCGCGCGCGAGAGAGGACCCGGACCCGATCGGGGACGGACTCGGCGCGGAGACGGACTCGGACGACTCCCTCGCGGGCGGCGAGGAGCTGCCGATCGAGGAGGAGGAGGAGGAGGACGACGACGACGACGACGCCGATGAGGAGCTCGGGCGCGCGGCTCTGAGAATTCAAGCCGCGCACCGGGGGAGGATGGCGCGACGCGAGCTTCAGGACTTGAGAGAGACGAACGAAGCCGCGAAGAAGATTCAAGCGGTGCACAGAGGGAAGCTCGCGCGGAGGGAACTTCAGGAGCTGAGAGAGACGAACGAAGCCGCGAAGAAGATCCAGGCGGTGCATCGAGGGAAACAGGCGAGACGCGAGCTTCAGGAGTTGCGAGAGACGAACGAAGCCGCGAAGAAGATCCAGGCGGTGCATCGAGGGAAACAGGCGAGACGCGAGCTTCAGGAGTTGCGAGAGATGCACGCGTCCGCTCTGAAAATACAAGCCGTGCATCGAGGGAAGCAAGCGCGGAAAGAGCTTCAGGAGTTGCGAGAGACGAACGCCGCGGCTCTGAAAATCCAGGCGGTTCACAGAGGGAAGCAAGCGCGCAAAGAGCTCCAAGAGCTTCGCGAGACGACCGCGGCGGCGAAGAAAATTCAAGCGGTGCATAGAGGGAAACTCGCGAGGAAGGAGGTCCAAGAGCTCAGAGAGATGCACGCGTCTGCTCTGAAAATTCAAGCGGTGCACAGAGGGAAGCAAGCGCGCAAAGAGCTTCAGGAGCTGCGCGAGATGCACGAGTCCGCGAAGAGGATTCAGGCCGTGCACCGAGGGAAGCAGGCGAGACGCGAGCTTCAGGAGTTGCGAGAGATGCACGCTTCGGCTCTGAAAATACAAGCCGTGCATCGAGGGAAGCAAGCGCGGAAAGAGCTTCAGGAGTTGCGAGAGACGAACGCCGCGGCGAAGCGCATACAGGCGGTGCACAGAGGGAAGCTCGCGCGGCGGGAGGTCCAGGAGCTGCGCGAGATGCACGAGTCCGCGAAAAGGATTCAGGCGGTGCACAGAGGGAAGCAGGCGCGGAGAGAACTCCAGGAGTTGCGAGAGACTAACGAAGCCGCGAAGAAAATTCAGGCGGCGCACCGAGGGAAGCAGGCGCGGCGGGAGGTTCAGGAGCTGCGAGAGACGACCGCGGCGGCGACGAAGATACAGGCGGTGCACAGAGGGAAGCAAGCGCGCGCGAAGTTCGCGGAAGCGCGGCGCTTCGCCGAGAGCATCGCCGAGGAGGAAGAGGAGGAAGAGGAGGAGTACGAAGAAGAAGAGCGCGGATCGGTCGAGTCGGAATCGGAATCGGAATCGGACGAACCCGAGCCTCCGCCGCCGCCGCCGCCGCCGCCGCCGCGGCCGAAGACGCCGCCGTCGCCGCGATCCGCGCTCGCTCGCGCGCAGGCTGCCGCGGACGCGCTCTTCCAGAGGAACCCCAAGCTCGCGGACGCGTTGGAAGCCGCCGCGTTCGCGCGCGCCAGATCGAAGCCGAAGCCGAAGCTGAACGAATCGTGGCGCAGAGCGCACTCGCCGTACAAGACCTACCAGGTCGGCCCCGACGACCGCGCGGCGCAGGCCGCGCGGATAGCGCGGATGAGTCCCTCCGATCGACCTCTCCGAGGCGCGGCGGCGTGGGCGGACCCGGCCGCGGCGGCGGCGTGGACCCCGCGGCGGCGCGGGCTCGGGGGAGGCGCGGGCGGCGCCGCGACGACGACGACGGAGGACGATCGCGACCGCCACCCCGGGCTGTCGAGACCGATGGTGGAAGACCTCGCGCGCAGGCTCCCCGCGTTGTGCGGCGGCGGCAGAGGCGGCGAGGCCGAGGCGCTGAGGTTCATCGCGTCCGTCGTCGCCGCGAGGCGGCTCGCGAGGGAGGAGGAGGAGGCGGCGGCTGCGGCGGCGAGGGGGGCGGAGGAGGAGGAGGAGGTAGCGCCGCCGCCGCGGGCGCGACGCACGCCGGAGCCGCCGAGCGTGCCTCTGAAGTTTGCCCCGACGCGCGCGCCGCGTCGGTTAGCGTATTAAGCATCGCGCGACGAACGAAACGAAACGAAACGGAACGTCGTCGTAGGGCTATTATGAGATGGCTATTCGTTATTACGCCCGACGCCCTCCCCGTCGTCGGAGTCCGATGAAGGAAGGGTCCGTGCGTTCGCGCGAGCTCGATCCTCTATCGCGTCGTGCCCTTCTCCAGGTCGTACTCCCCCCCGCTCGGTCGCACCGTGTCCGGGGTGAACACGCCCCCCCGGTACGCGCTCGACAGCGGCGAAAACGGCACGCCCTCGCGCCCGCCGGGCTTACACCGCGCGCGGAATCGAAGCTCCATGCTCACGCGGCCTTTGCTCGCGTCTTGCCTCGCGCGCATCAAGTCCGCCGCCGAATCGATCACCGCCTTCTTCTCGTCGCCGTCCCACTTCGCGGCGCCGTGCCACATGTCGAACGAGTCGAACGCCACGAACGGGTGTGTTATCCACGTGTGCGCGTCGTCCGGCGTGAGCTCCGGCGAGCCGCGCGACATGTAGTTCGGGTCGGTGAACTCAGGGTCGTTCCATACAAAGCGATGTCGGGGTGGAGTTCATAGGCGTCAGATGGAGTTGAAAGGCGTCGAGGACGGAGATTGAAGCCGAGGGGTGGGCGGAGAGATGCGCCGGAAAAAGTCCTTAAGGAACGGCGTTCACCAAGCGAACGGGGTCGTATGGGGACCAGTGTATAGAACGCACCTCGAACTGGTCCTCCTTCTTCTGTCCCCGTCTCGTCGAAAACATCGACATCACGATCGGCGCGGCGGAGAGCGGGTTCTTCGCCGCGCGGCCCATCATCTCCCCGATCGTCTCCTCCTTCGCGCCCACGTTGTCCTCCGGTTTGCGTATCTCGTAGTCCCACTCCTTCGCGCCCTCGTCTCTGGGGAGGAGTAGACACAGCGGGTTTTCGTACACCTGCCCCGACGCGTCGAGCGGCGTCCTCGCGAGCCAGACGTTGTAGTACCTGTACGAGTACGCGCCGTCCTCCTCCTCCTCCGCGCCAAACGGCGCACTTCCCGGCATCGCGGTCTCCATCCACCCGGGCTGCTTGTAGTCGATCGCGTCCGGGTCTCGGTGCAGGCGGCCCAGAGGGTTGTACTTGGACATCGTGAAGTCCGTCTTCGGCCGGCGTTGCATGAAATCGATGGCGCGGTCCTTCATGTCGTCGCCTGCGGACGCGTAGAAAAGTGGTGACGTGGACGGAGGAGCGCGATCGGACTGGTCAGTACGTGATGACGTGGAGGTTTTTCGATGACGTGTCGCGCGCGGATTGGATCGGTCGGTCGACGAACGAACGCACCGACGAACGCGACGCCGGAGAGAACCTCCCCGCCGAACTTCGGGTCGCACTCCTCCGGGAACGCCTCCTCGAGGAGCGACCGCCCAGCCTCGAACGCCTCCGGCCACAGCGAATGGTGCCCCGCGTTCTTGTTCCGCACGCCGATCGCGTCCCAGCCGTCCTCCATGACGCGCAGCAACCTCAGGAGCTTCGGGTTGGACGGATCGATGAGAGACACGAATCGCTCCGCGCCCGCGGCCGCGATGGCGGCTCTCGCGCCGTCGTTCACCATGATGTCCACGTCGACCGCCGCGTCCTTGTACGGCACCGCGCCTCGGCGCGAGGTGTAGTCGCTCGCGCGCGAGCACGCGTCCGGGTTCGCGAGCGCGGGAGGGGGAAGCTCCGTCGTCGTCGTCGACGACGCCGCCGCGGCCGCGATCGGTGCCTTTCGGAGATTATCACGACGAGCGCGAGCGATCGTCGCGGTCCGCGCGCGGCGGACGCGCGTCGTCGCGTCTCCCGCGGGAGACGCGAGGCGCGTCGGGGCGAGGAGCGCGGTCGTCGCCATCGTGGGTGATCCCGCGCGCGCGAGAGAGAGGAAACGTCGACGAGCGGAGCGACGCGCGCGACGGGGTGTGGCGAGCGTTTATTATCCGCAAAAGATACGCTCGTCGCAGAGAGCTGACCGCCAATCCATACAAAACAAGTTCATCGGTCAGCTGAAAGGGAAATCGATCAAACGTTGAAACCGAGGGACGCGTGAAAAACGTTCGTGAACGCGCTCGCCTCGCCTCGGCGCGAGTCGCGTTTTCGACGCGAACGCGGCGTCGTCGATCACTCACTTCACGCGCCGCCGGGCACGGAGGTGCGCCCGTCTCCCCTCTCGCGGACCCTCCCCCTCCCCCCTCGATCGCGCTCGCGCGCCGCGTCGCCGCGTCGTCGCCCCGCCCTCGACGCGCGCGTCCTGACGCCCGCGCCCTTCCGCCCGTCCACCTCCGCCCCGCCCCCCGTCGCGTCGTAGTTCGCAGAGCGGAGAGGACGCGAAGATGATTTATGACACGAACAGCACGCTGTTCCGGTCGTTCCTGAAGGCGTCCACGAAGACGGGCCACGTCGCCGGCGTCGGCGGCGTCGCCAAGGACATCAAGGCCAAGGGGAGCGACGGGAAGTACCAGGGCGAGTGAGCCCCCGTGAGCGCGGCGGAGGCGGAGACGGGGACGGGAGCTGAGTTTTGAACGAAAGAGAAGTAACCCTACAGTACCCGACGCAGTACCTCGGACCTCCTCGGACCTCGCGAGAAACCCGAGGCGACGACGCGACGCCGCAGCCGCCGCCGGCGGCACTCCTCCTCGCACTCCGCCACGCCCTCGCCGTCGCGACGCGCCCTCTTCCCTCGCCCCCCCCCCCTCCTCCGATGCCGCCGCCGCCGCCGCCGTCGACGCTCGCGCGCGCGCTCGCCGCGTCGCTCGCGCTCGTCCTCCTCAACGCGCCGTCGAACGCCCAGGCGGGCGGGCGCCGCGGCGCCGCCGCCGAGCCGTGCGCGCCGGTGAGCACGGCGTCGCCCTTCGACCTCGACGCGTACGCCGCGCACGCGTGGTACGTCCAACAGCAGCAGGTGGTGCGATATCAACCAAGGGAGTCGCTCTACTGCGTGCGCGCGTCCTACCGCGTGAACGACGACGACGCCGTGGTGCGACGAGACGAGACGAGTCCGCTTTCTTTCCGCGCGCGCGCTACGAACACGTTCTCCCTCGCGCGTCGATCGTCGATCCTCGAGGACTTCTTTCGCGCGCGCGTCTCGACGCGCGGGAATGCCATCCACCAATCGCACGCCCGCGCGACTGACACGTGGCTTCCCTCGACCAATAGGACGTGTACAACACGGCCAACGTCGGCGGCGTCGACGGGCCGCCGCAGAACTCCGACGGCTTTCGGCTGCGCGCGGTGATCGATCCCGACGCGGACGATGACGCGCCGAGCAAGCTCCGCGTCGGGCCGAGGTTTCTTCCGAGGTTTCTGTACGGGCCGTACTGGGTCGTCGCGGTGTCTCCGAGGTGCGCGCGGCTGCGGAAGGTTTTTTGGTTTCTTTTTTTTTTGCTCTTTGGCGCTCGGCGCGACGGACGACAGACTCACTCGCCTCGCTCGTCCGTTTCACTCGCAGCGAGCCTCGCGACGAGAGCGACCCCGTCGGCCCTGGGTATGACTGGGCGATCGTCAGCGGCGGTCAACCGACGATCCCGACGGGAGACGACGGGAAGTGCCGCACCGGGAGCGGCCAGAACGACAGCGGCTTTTGGTTGTTCACGCGAGAGAAAATCGCGTCCGAGGCGACGCTCGAAGAGATGCGCGCCGTCGCGTCCGAGAAAGGGTTCGACCTGAGCGCGTTGGAGCCCGTGACGCACGAGGGTTGCGAGTACCCGGAAGAGTGACGCGAGCGCCCGACGTGGAAGCGTCGTGCGAGAGCACGAACGAACGAACGAACGAACGAACGAGCGAACGCGCGGATGGGAGAATACTGTACTTCTCGACGACACTGCAAGCAGGAATAGAAAAGTTTCCGCGACGCGCTCTAAGGATACCGTACGCGCGACACCGGGCACCCCTCGCCATCGCCTCGCCTTCTTCCTTTCCCTACCACTCCTTTCGATCGTTCGATATCATCACTGGTTCGCGGCTAAGATCGCGGACAACACGATGAAGCTCCCTATCAACCCGGCGGTGACGTAATCCACCGCGCTCTTCGCCTCGGACGCGCTTCCGAACACCCTGTTCTCGTTGAGCGAGTTCACGACGCCGTCGCCCTTGGGCCCCTGGAAGAGGATGAGCGCGATGGACGCGATCGCGACCAACAGGCGCGCGGACTCGAGCGGGCCGTTCGCGGCGGTCTGCGGTCGGTCGCGCGGGCGGGTCGAGGACGGGAGGGGGAAGGGGAGCGACGGATAAGAGAGCGAGCGAACGAACGATGATGACGATGTGGTCGAGTCGGGTCGGCGACGCCGCGCGACGGGGAGGAGATAGACGGCGCGGCGGGACGCGCGCCTGCGCGAGCTCGTTCGCCGCGTGCGCGAACGCGGGCGCGGCCGGGAGCGCGGTCGCCGCCGCCGCGACCGTCGCCGTCGCCGCGGCCGCGCGGCGTTCGCGCGCCTCGGCGCGCGTCGTCGTCGTGCTCGTCGTCGTCGACGATCTCGTCGCCCGCGACGTCGCCGTCGCGCGCGCCGCCGTCGTCGCGCGCGCGCGTCCGCGGACCGCGCGCGACGCGACCGCGCGCGTCGATATCGTGCTCGACGTCGACATCATGATCGATGTCGCGATGCGCGCGTCGTCGTGTGGAGGGGACGCGCTCGGGCGGTCGCAGGGCGAACGAACCCTACATCCCTGAAGCAAGTTTCGCTTTCGTCGAGGGAAGCCGTCGCAGATGTCGGCGCCCGCTCATCACTCTTCGTCCGCGCCGGCCGGCGCGTCGTCGCGAGTCATGGCCGCGGATGACGACCTCGACCGGTTCGACGACTCGGACTCCGAGAGATTCGTGGACGCCGACGCGGACGACGCCGCGCCGAAGGGCGGCGGCGCGTCGACGTCCGCGCGCGTCTCCGCCGCCGTCGCGTCGTCGAATCCGAGACCGAACGCGCGCGATCGCCCGTCGTCGAGAGCGGCGCGGAAGCGCGCGAAGAAGCTCGCCGCGAAGGCGGCGAGGACGGCGCGACGCGAGGAAGAGAAGACGCGATTTCCCGCCGCGGCGGACGGAGACGACGGCGGCGGCGGCGACGGCGGCGGCGACGCGTCGTCGTCCGGGGAAGAGGAGGAGGAGGAGGAGGAGGAGGACGCGTCGCGACGGCGGCCGCGCTCGTCGTCCGCGGAGATCCCGCCGGTCCCGGATAAGAAGGTTCACCACGGCACGCTGCGCGTGGAGGGCGTCGTCGTCGACAACAAGCTCGTCCTCGTGGACGGGAGAACGCGCGCGGTGTACTCGTCCACGAGGCGCGCGAAGGTGCGTTCTATAGACTGGTCCCCATACGGCCGCGTCGGCGTGGTGAACGCCGATCCTTAAGGACTTTGCCCGGCGTGTCTCTCCGCCCACCCCTCGCTTTCAATCCCCGACCGCGACGCCTTTCATCTCCGCTTCTGACGTCTTTGAACTCCACCCCGACGTTCGCTCGTATGGAACGATCCTAAGGACGGGTCGCACCTGCGCGTCGGGACGTTCGATCCCGCGACGGGAGCGGTGATTCGATGGAGCAAGAAGGAAATCGCGGCGCATCACGCACCCAAGCCGGCGGACGACGACGACGACGAAAAAGAAGAAGAAGAAGAAGAAGAAGAAGAGAACGTCGTCGAGGGCAGGATGGAGAGACCGCCGACGTCGGTGACGCACGCCTTCGACGCGGACGGGGACGACCACTGCGAGACGTCCCCGGAGGCGCACGCGAACGTGGTAAACTTTCTGAACGACGTCGCGTCGCGGCTGGGGAAGAAGCCGAGCGAGCTGATCATCTACGACCCGTACTACTGCGCCGGCGGCACGGAGCGGTCGTTCAACGCGCTGGGGTTTCGAAACGTCATCAACCGGAACGAAGACTTTTACGCCGTCGCGAAAAGGAACGAAGTGCCCGAACACGGTGCGACCGACCACACTATTGTCTATTACCTTTCCCTCTCGCGTTCGCTCTTCGCCCGCCCGCCCGCGCTTCCCTCACGACGTCGCAGCGGCTGTTTCATCGGCACGACGCGCCGCCGACCGACGCGTCGACCCCACCGAGCGACCGACCCCTCGCAGACGTCCTCGTGACCAACCCGCCGTACAGCGCCGATCACGTGGAAAAATGCCTCACCTTCGCGGCGGCGAACCTCGCGGAGCACGGACGGCCGTACTTCCTGCTGTTGCCGTCGTACGTGATTCACAAGCCGTACTACGTCGACGCGCTGTTGACCGGCGGCGCCGCGGGGAGGCGGGCGAAGGAGGCGAGAGAGAAGAGAGAACGAGGGAGGGCAGAAGAAAAAGAAGAAGACGTCGAGGAGGAGGAGGAGGAGGAGGAGGACGAGGAGGAGGACGAAGAAGAAATGGTGGACGACGACGACGACGACGACGACGACGACCAGATGGTGTTCAAGCGCGCTTCCGACGCGACCGGCGAGCGGATCCCCCTCGCGAAGAAGAAGTCGAACGCGTCGTCGTCGTCGTCGTCGTCGCGTCGGCAGACGTTGCCCTTCTACGTCGCCCCCGCGAAGCGGTACTACTACTGGACCCCGAAAGCGCTTCTCGCCGCGCGCCGCGCCGCGTCCGCGCGCGACGACGGCGAGAGCGCGTCCGCGCGCAGAAAGAAGAAACACGTCGGGCGACTGGGCGAGCGCACGTCGCCGTTCCCGTCGATCTGGTGCTGCTGCCTCGGGGAGTTTCAGACGGACGCGTTGCGACGGCATCGGAAACTCCCTCGCGCGTTTGTCGACGGGTACACCGTGTCGACGCACCCGAACGACCTCCCCGCGCACGTCCTCGACGAGTGGGATCCGCGGAGGCTGGCCGCGGTGGAGCGAGAGAGAGCGCGGGGGGCGCGGAGGAGGGACGGGGACGACGGGGATCACGGGGACGACGGGGCCCGCGGGGACGACCGCGGGAAAAGAGGGGGGAAGATCAAAAAGTTGAGACGCTTCGCCGGATTCAGGTGCGTTCTATACACTGGTCCCCATACGACGGCGTTCGCGTGGTGAACGCCGTTCCTTAAGGACTTTGCCCGGCGCATCTCTACGCCCACCCCTCGCTTTCAACGCCCGCCCTCGGCGCCTTTCAACTCCACCTGACGCCTATGAACTCCACCCCGACGTTCGCTTGTATGGAACGACCCTCAGCGGCGGCAACTGCGGGCAGAACATGCCGGCGAAGGACAAGAAGCGATACGCGGAGTTCACGAACGACAAGAGCGGTGAGGCGGCGACCGGTAACTGGGAGAACGGCAAGGGCGGCGGCGACGGCGGGATGTTCTCGCGGCCGAGGAAGAAGGCCAAGTACTGACGACGACGCGAGCGCGACTTCTTTCATACGAAGGTACCCTGTACTCGTAGCTTATTATAAGAATACTCGTGTTCACGAGAACGAACGCGGCGGCTCGGACGTACGGTATGATTAATTACTCGAGCGAGAGCCCCTTGTCGTTCTCGCGCGCGCCGGACTTGAGCTTATCGTAGAACCCCGACGTCTCCTCGATGACGGCCATCGTGTACGCTTTGTCCATGCACTCGTCGTTCAAGCCGAACGCGTTTTGCGGCTTTCCGTCCGGGGTTTTGTAATCGCGGAACCACACGCGAATCTTCTCGAGCTCCCCGGGGAAGTGCTTCTCCACGTCCGCGACGTCGTTCACGTCCTTCGCCTTCGGGTCGTCCGCCGCGATCGCGATGACCTTCCAGTCGAGCTCGCCGTCGTCGATCATCGCGTAGACGCCGACCGGCTTCACCGGGACGACCGAACCCATCTCGCGTTGAGCTGAGGGTGGAGTTGAAAGGCGTCAGGTGGAGTTGAAAGGCGTCGAGGGCGGGGATTGAAAGCGAGGGGTGGTCGGAGAGACACGCCGGGCAAAGTCCTTAAGGAACGGCGTTCACCACGCCGACGCGGTCGTACGGGGACCGGTCGGTGTGAAAATAGAACGCACCCGAGCCGATCTCGACGACGTCCACCGGGTCGTTGTCGCCCATGACCTTCATCTCCGGGTGCTCGTGCCCGGGGTCCTCCCACGTCCGCGGGAGCATGCCGTAGTTCCAGTTGATGTTGTACGGGTAGTCGCGAAGCTTGCCCTTCTTCGTGTCTTGCTTGATCGGCGTCAGCGGCTCGTCCGTCGCGACCTCCATCTTCGCCTTGGTCTCCTTGGGGATCTCGCAGATGAAGTTGCACGTCCCGTCCGCGTTGTAGAGCGGGACGTCGTGCCACGGCGAGATGGCCTTCTCGCCGTCTTTGAAGAAGATCCTGTAGTCGAGGCTCGGGTAGTCGCCCTTCTCGTCCTTGCCGTACGCCGCCTTCGCGGCGACGGAGGCGCGGAACGCGCGATGGCGGTTCGGCGCTATCGCGACGAGCGCGGACGGCGCGCGCGCGAACTGGCGCGCGGCGGCGGGCTTCGGCGCGGCCGCGCGCACGATCGCCATGGTCTTGAACGCGGAGGCGATGGCGGACATCGCGGCGTGCGTGGGGAAGGGGGGCGGGGGGGGGTGGGGAGCGAAGCGTGCGGCGGGCGCGCGACGACGAGAGGCGGCCGGATCGCGCATCGCGGAACGACGCTCGATCCACAAAAAGGCGTCCGCGGTTCGCGGCCGAGTACAGTACGGTATTTTTCGTATGAGCAATGTTTCAGAGACGTCGCCTTATCTGAACGATTCGCCACACGCGTGCCAACTGGCGCCCCGACCGGCCACGTAGAGCCCCATCGGACCGTCGCGCCGCCGCGCGCACTCCACGCACGCACCGCGAACGACGACGATGTTCGCGCTCGCCTCGTCCTCCGCCGCCGCCGTCCGCGTCCCGGTCGCGTCCGCCGCGGCGCCGCGGACGCGCGCCGCGCGCGCCGCGACCGCGTCGTCGCTCTCGTCCTCCGCGTCCTCCGCGTCCGCGCCGCTCCGCGCGAGATGCTGCTTCGTTCGCGGTCCGTCGTCGTCGTCGTCGTCGTCGTCCGTCCGACGCGGGAGCCTCCAGGTCCGCGCGGACGCCATCGACGACGCCGTGGAGATCGCGACGAAGGGCCCTAACACGGGTCCGAAAGGGCCGGTCGCGTCCGACGTCGTCCCCGCGCTCCCGCGCTCGACGTGCTCCGACGTCGTCGATGGCGACGGCGGGTTCAACCTCGCGACGACGTCGTTCGGCACCATCGGCCTGAGCGTCGGCCTGCCGCTGCTGTCGTACGGGTTCTTCTCCTTCTTCAACTTCCTTCCGGGGGGGAGCGTGTCGTCGCTGCTGCTCATCTACGGGTTCATCATCTCCCTCATCGGGTTCGCGCTGAAGTACGCGCAGCTGGACCCGCTCGAGTGCGTCACGTACAGGGTGCGTCGCGACGGTCGTCGTCGTTCGCTCGCTCCCAGATCATCTCGTTTTATCCATCCCGTCCCGTTCGTCGGCCGCTGACCTTCTCTCTTCTGCGCCCTCCACAGGACGCGCTCGCGCTGCGCGAGTCGCAGACCACGGCCATCCTGACCCAAGTCCGCAACGACGTCACGCGGTACCGATACGGCGACGAGCAGCACCTCGAGGAGGCGCTCGGGTTCATCTTCCGGTGCGAGAGAATTCCAACATTCCGTTCCGTTCCATTCCGTTTCATTCCTAAACCCTGTCCTCCGCGCGACTGACTGACACTGACGCGCGGATTACTCTCCCCTCGACCTGATATCAGGTACAACCGCCCGGGCGGCCTCCGCAAGAACCAGGCGCCGAAGATGACGGGCATCGCCGAGATGGTCATCGTCGACCGCTACGCGCTCGTCTTAAAGTTCGACTGCCCGAAGATGGAGCTGTCCGAGTGGACGGACCGCAGAGAGAAGATTCAGGCGTTCTTCGGCCCCGGCGTCACCGCGGGGATCACGGAGACGGGAGAAGGGAAGGTGGAGGTGGAGCTCGTGAGCGACGGCAGCGACGCGTCGGGGCCGAGCGGGAACGACGACATGGAGGTGTTGCCGCCGCTGATGCCGGGGTTGCCGCCGCGCTACGTCAAGAAGGGCAAGGCGTAGTGCGAAGTGCGAAGCGCGAAGTGCTGTGGATGTGGATGTGGATGTGGTGGGTGAAATACCGTGGTTGGTGAACCGCTCGCTTGTACACGTTGTCGTAATGATACACGTACACGTACACGTTCTATTCGCGAGTTTGGACGGACGCGGGTCCTTCCTCCTTCTCTACGCGTAGTCCCCCCCCCCGTTCTCCGCGAGCTTCAAACACTCGGTGTACACCCGTTCGTCCACGTCCATCGTCAGACTCCCGCTCTTCATCTCGTAGCAACACGTCTTGCCGCCGCCCTTGCCCCCCCCCGTCGCGTACATCCCCGCGTACGTCGCGGAGTCCGTCTTGTACTTCAGATGTACGCCGCTGCCGAACCGTCGCTTCAACGCGACGCCGGCTCTCTCCGCCTCGACCCTGTCCCTGAAATCTTTCGTGTACAAGATCAAGACGCCAACGCCGCCCTCGCCCCCGCCCGCGGGCGCCTTGGCGGCGACGACCTCGCCAGCCTCCACCGCCTTCGCGCACTCGACGAAGTATCTGTCGATCACGTCGGACTTGACCCCCATGATCATCCACTTGCCGCTGTATGTGTGTGCGCTCGCGGCGTCTTCGCTCGAGACGTTTTCGTCGCGGCCGTTGACGTAAACCCATTCTTTCTCCGGCGAGGCTTCGGTCACGGGATTCAACGCGGCGAAGACGGAAGGCTTGGTGAAATCGTAGTGCGTGAGCCACCGGTGCGACATCGGCTCGGCGAACTTGCCGTCGAGGAGTTTCGGAGACACGAGTTCACCGACCGAGCTCGGGACGTCGTACGGAAGTCCGAGGAGCTCGAGGACCGACGCGGCGGACGCGTCGTCCGCAGATCGGCGGCGGAGGGTGAAACGCACGGGCACGTCCTTCGTGGGGAGCGCGTCGACGCCGCGCGGCGCGTCCACGACGCACGCCACGACGGTCAGCGCGCCGGAGTCCAACGCGGGCGCGAGCACCGCCGCCTGCGTCGCCTTGACGAAGCCCGCGTGGATCGGGTCGCCGACCGATGATGAGAGGACGTCGACGGCGACGGCGTTGGGATCGTGCGCGTTGCCGTCGTCGCGGCGGAGGCGGAGTTTCGCGCCGTGCGCGAGCCGCGCCCTGGCCGCCCGGTGTCTCATGCTGCCCACCAGCCGCGCCGACACGACCGCGTCTCGGGGCGCGTCGTTGTCGTCGTCGTCGATGACGACGACGGCGTTTTCGTTTTCGTCGGTCGCTCGCTCGTCGTTCGAGATCTCGACGACGGGCGCGCGTTCGGGTTCGAGCGCGGATTTCTTCGGAGCATCGCCGGTCGCGGCGGCCGCCAGCGCGTCGTACTGGCGCTTGAGCATGAGCGGCATGTCGCGCGAACGCGCGCGATGCTCCCTCGGCGCCGCGCGCGCGCGAGGCAGTGGCGCCCTCAGATCTCGGGCTGTCGACCCGAAAATCGAACGAAACCGAATTGCGTGTTACAACTCCACTTGTACGCAAACGTTTTTCACCCATCCCTCAGTTTCAACATTTGATCGCTCCCCCTTTCAACTGACCGATGAACTTTTCTTGGCCGCGGGAAAGATGTCGTGCTGTCACGACTCGTCACGAGGTGTGTCACAGTCCGTCGCGCGCGTCGTCGCCGCCGCCGTCGTAGATGCCCGCGCTCGTCGCGTCGTCGTCTTCTCATCTCGTTCGCGTCGCGCGTCGCTCGCGCGCCGCCGCGGACGCGTCGCGCGTCGGCGTCGCGCGCGCGTCGACGCCGCGCGGGTCGATCCGGGTCCGCCCGTCCGCGGCGTCCCGAACCATCGTCGTCGTCGCCGGGAAACGTTCGGGTTCAGACGCGCCGCGCGTCCGATCCTCCGCGCCGCGCGTCCGATCCTCCGCGCCGCGCGCTCCTCCTCCCGCGCGCCGCCGCCGCCGCCGCCGCGCCGTCGTCGCCGCCGCCGCCGCGCCCCCCGCGATCGCCGCGGGGATGACCGCGCTGCAGTTCACCCCCGTCGACGCGCTGGCGGGCGGCGCCATCCTCGGCGTCGCCGCGATCGCCAAGCTGACGCTCACCGGCCGCGTCCTGGGCGTCTCCGGCGCGGTCGAAGGATGCGTCGGCGCGGAGACGACGACGACGACGACGACGCCCGCCGGCGACGTCGCGTTCGTCGCCGGCCTCCTCGCCGCGGGGTGCGCCGCGGCGTTCGGCCTGATGGGCGGCGTCGCGCCGTCGCCGGAGCCGATGGTGCCGATCGCGCGCGCCGCCGCCGCGGGCTTCCTCGTCGGCCTCGGCGCCGCCATGGGCAACGGCTGCACGTCCGGGCACGGCATCTGCGGCAACGCGCGCCTCTCCCCGCGAAGCATGGCGAACACGTGCGTCTTCATGTTCACCGGGTTCCTCGCCGCGACGCTCTTCGACACGAACGCGGCGCTGGGCGTCGTCTCGAACGTCTCCGCGATTGCGAATCCGGCGTATCCGGCTTTCGCGGCGGCGCGCGGCTGGATCGCGTTCGCCGGCGTCGCCGTCGCCGCGTTCGCCGCGCTCGCGTCGGCGGCGACAGCGAAAGGCGGAGTCCGCGGAGGCGGGACAACGATCGGCGTCATCGCGGACGGCGCCGTCGGATACGTCTTCGGCGCGGGGCTCCTCGTCAGCGGGATGACGCGACCGACCAAGGTGAGCGGGTTTCTCTCCGCGACGGCGGCGTCGTTCGATCCGTCGCTGATGCTCGTCATGTGCGGCGCGCTCGCGCTGTGCGTCCCGGGGTTTTACCTCGTTCGAAAGCTCCGCGATTCGCCGGCGTGCGCGGAGGGGTTCGACGTGCCGAGCGGTAAGACGATCGACGCGAAGTTGATGACGGGCGGGGCGCTGTTCGGGGCTGGGTGGGGGCTCGGGGGCGTGTGCCCCGGGCCGGCGATCGTAGCGCTGGCGGCGACGCCGAACGCGGCGATCGCGACGTGGATCGTCGCGATGCTGGCGGGGATGCTCGTGAACAAGAGCGTCTTCTCGAGCCAAGCGTGATGAAGCGAGATGAGAGAGAAGACGAAACGAACGAGAGAAAAACGATATGATACTGTAGAGCGATTCGAGAGTGGTCTGTACAAAACAAAGCCTCGCTCGTCCGTCGTCAGATCCGTCGTCGTTCCGCGTTACTCCTTCCTTGGTCACCCGTCGGATCCGCCTTCGGCGCGTACTACTTCCGTCCTTCGTCGTTAGCACTCGCCGTCCGTCGCGCGCCGCCTTCCATTCCGCCGTATTACTCAGTCTCAGTACATCTTCTCGATGACGCCGCTGTACTTCTCCACGACGACGTTCCTCTTGAGTTTCTGCGTGCTTGTGAGCTCGCCGCCGTCGACGGAGAAGTCGACGTCCAAAATCGTAAACTTCTGAATCTTCTGCGCGTTCGAGACAGCCTCCTTGTTGTACGTCTTGATCCCGCCCTCGATGTACGCCGTCCACTTCGGATCCTTCTTCGCCTCCGTCACCGTCGTCGACGCCTTGCTCACGTCCTTCGACGTCCCGAACAGCTCGTCCACGAAGCCGTTCTCGTCGTCCGGCTTCTGTCGAAGCGTCACGAGAAGCGTGTTGTACTTCCGCTTATCGCCCACCATCATCACGTTGCTGATGCACGGAAGAAGCGACTTGAGCCTGTCCTCGATCGGCACGGGCGCGATGTTCTCGCCCCCCGCGGTGATGATGAGCTCCTTGATCCGGCCGGTGATGGACAGCAGCCCGGTGGCCGGGTCTACTTTCCCGACGTCGCCCGAGTGCAGCCAGCCGTCCTCGTCGACGGCTCCCGACGTCTTCTCCGCGTCGTGCATGTAGCCCATCATGACGTGCCGGCCGCGGAAGCACACCTCGCCTTCGTTCGGCTTATCGCGCTTGGGGTCGTGCTCGATGTTGATCTCCACGCCAGGGAGGGTGCGACCGCAGGTGCCCGCGAGGAAGTGCGCGTTCTGAGGGTCGTTCCATACGAGCGAAGAACGTCGGGGTGGAGTCGAAAGGCGTCAGAAGCGGAGTTGAAAGGCGTCGAGGGCGGGGATTGAAACCAGCGAGGGATGGGCGGAGAGGAACGCCGAGAAAAGTCCTTATGGAGGATCGGCGTTCACCACGCGAACGGGGTCGTATGGGAACCAGTGTGAGATAGAACGCGCCTGACCGCACGTCTGCGGGCCGGTGTTCTCGGACATGCCGTACACCTCCATGATGTGCACGCCGAGGGAGCCGAAGTAGTCGAGCGTGTCCTTGGTGATGGGCGCGGCGCCGGAGAGGCAGAGGCGCGCTTCCTCGAGGCCGATCGCGGCTTTGGCCTTGGCGGACACGAGCTTCCGCGCGAGGAACGTGAAGAACGGCGCGGAGCCCTTGGAGTTCACCTGCGCCGCCGCGTGCGCCTTGCCGAGCGTTCCTTTGCCCCACGCGGAGATCTTCTTCTTGAGGCCTTTGATCTCGCGGCCCTTCGCCTGAATCGCCTCCGCGAACTTCTCCCACACGCGCGGCACGGCGAAGAACACCGTCGGCTTCGCCTTCATGAGCGTCCCCTTCAGCGACCCCTTCATCGCGTCAGGCGCGGCGAAGTGAATCTCGGACGGGAGCCCGTGATCGGCGAGGTACGCCATCGGCGAGTGAATGTCCACGATCTGCGCGGCGATGTGCGAAAGCGGGAGGTACGACACGACGCGGAGCGGGCCGGAGACGAAGTCCGGGTGGTGCTCGATGTTCGCGCGCGTCGTGAACGTCACGTTGTCGTGCGAGATCATCACCGCCTTCGGGTTGCCCGTGGTCCCGGACGTGTAGATGAGCGTGCAGCAGTGCCCGGGTTTCTGGTCGGCGACGCGCGCGTCGAGATCCGCCTCGGCGACGCCCGCGCCGAGCGCCATGAAGTCGTTCCACGAGTACACCTTCGCTTGCCCCGCGCCGACGCCGTCGTTCGCGGACTTGTCGAAGTCGCCGCCGTAGACGACGATCGCGGCGAGCTTCGGGAGAGAGCCGCGGATCGCGAGGATCTTGTCGAGCTGCTTCTGGCCCTCAACGACGATGACCCTCGCCTTGCAGTGATCGACGATGTACTTGCACGCGGGCGGCTCGTTCGTGGTGTAGATCCCCGCGGCGAACCCGCCCGCGGCGATCGCGGCCATGTTCGAGAGGTGCCACTCCGGGGCGTTGAACCCGAGGATGCTGACGGACTCGAAGCGGCCGAGGCCGAGGGCGATGAACGACTTGGCGGCCGCGCGCGTGTCGTCGTAGAACTGCTTCCAGGTCCACGTCTTGCCGTCGCAGCCGATGAGCGCCTTCGTGTTGGCGAGCTTGTGATCGGCGCACTTCTTGAAGACCTGGAGGCGCGGCGATGGGAGGGAGTGCGGGGGGTTGGGGAGCGGGACGCGTCAGATCGCGGCGCGGGCATCGACGATCGCATTATTCCGATGAATGAAATGATGTCACCCCCGGCGGACGAAGCGGGCGGTCAATTCCTTCCGCGCGCGAGATCCCGCCCGCGAGATCGCCGAGGACGCACCGTCATGATCGTCTCCGGCTCGCGCGCGGCGACGCCGCTCTCCGCGAGCTTGATATCGGCGATCGCCGTGGGCTTGACATCGCGGGGCATGTTGAACGGTGCGTGTGTGAGGCGACGCGCGGGCGATGATCAATGCCCCGTCGGCAGATATCCGGAAGATCGAGGTGAGTGAGCTGTCTCGGCAACCGGAATCATGTGGGTTCAAAACACACGATTTTCACCCACCCTTCGGTGTCAACATTTGATCGCATCCCCTTTCAGTTGACCGGTGATTTTTTTGTACCCAGAAGCACCAGTGCAAGCTGGCACACGCCTTCGCTGATGAAGGCGCTTTTTCTCGAACCGGCGGCCCCCCTCCTCTTCGCCACTCGCTCCCGCACGACACGCGTGAGAGCATCATGGCGGCGGTACTAAACTTCCTCAACGTGCGCGCGTCTCTCTCTCTCTCTCTCTCTCTCTCTCTCTCTCTCGCTTCCTCGCGCTCGATCGCGCGCGTCGCGCCCAGATCCAGATCTGATCGTCCCTCCGTCGCTCGACGGTCCGATCGAATCGTTCGCGCTGAGCTTTTTCTCCGCGCTTCGTTCGACGCGGCGATCTGACGATCGCCCTCCTCCTCCTCCTCCTCCTCCTCCTCCTCGTCATCGCCGCAGGTCGACGCGCAGCTCCCTCTCACGGAGGGCGCGGACGTCGACTACATGAACAAATCCTCCGAGGGCTTCAAGAAGGCCAAGGCGACGCTCTCGCCCGCGTTCGCCTCCAACGTCAACGCGTACGACGTCCTCGTCCCGATCGGCACGACGCACCTCAACATCATGGCGACGTCCTTCTCGCGCGCGTCCGTGAAGATCGACGGTCACCCGGGCAACATGGCCGTCGTCGCCGTGAAGGACGGCGCGGCGGTGTCCGTCACCCTACACGACGGCGCGGACGGCGACGGCGTCGTCGCGACGTACGTCTTGACCGCGAAGGCGTCGGGGGACGCGTCCGGCGCGGTGACCATCTTGCACGAGAAGCCCCCCGTCGCCGCGGACGACGCGCCGCCGCACACGCACATGCACGGCGGCGTTGCGTGCACGGCGGATCACAGCAAGGACGGCGACGCGCACGGGCACTCGCACGACGGCGGAAAGACGACGTGCACGAAAGATCACGGGCACTCGCACGACGGCGGGAAGACTGAGGTGCGTTCTCCTTCACACTGGTCCCCATACGACCGCATTGGCGAGGTGGACGCCGATCCTTAAGGACTTTTCCCGGCGCATCTCTCCGCCCATCCCTCGCTTTCAATCCCCGACCGCGATGCCTTTCAACTCCGCTTCTGACGCCTTTCAACTCCACCCCGACGTTCGCTCGTATGGAACGACCCTGAGTGCCACGAGGATCACGGTCACGGCCACGGTCACGGCCACGGCGAGAAGAAGGAGGAGGCGTCGCACTCGCACGGGCACGGGCACTCGCACGATGGCGGAAAGACGGAGTGTCACGAGGACCACGGCCACGGCCACGGTCACGGCGAGAAGAAGGAGGAGGCGCACTCGCACGGACACGGGCACTAACCTTAACTTTAGGCGCTAAAACTTCATTAAAGCATCCTCGCGTCGTCGTCGTCGTCGTCGTCGTCTCAGAGCACGGTGTTCGCTATGCACGCGTCCATGTGCGCGTTCACGTCCGTGTTCAGCGCCGTTCGCGGGAACGTGAAGCCGCAGATGGGACAGTTCTCGCACACGTTCGAGCCGCCGCCGCCGCCGCAGGAGCCGCCCTCGGGCTTTGGCTTCGGCTTCGTCGCTGCCGCCGCGCTCGCGCTGGAAGCGGCGGGCGCGAACCCGAGAGGGTTGTCGAGCGCGTTGCCCTTCGCCTTCTTCGCCGCGGCGGGGGCGGGCTTCGCGTCGCCGCCGTCGCCGCCGCGCCCGCTCCCGTCGACGTCGCTCCCGTCGATCGCGTCTCGTTCTCGTTTTTGAAAAAACGAATGCATCGTCGTCGGCGCCCTTCGCGCTCGCGCCGCGCACGACGCGCTCACCGGCGTCGGCGCTTCCACGCGCACGCGCGCGCCGTTCGGCGACAGCGGCGACGGGACGTCGATGGAGATGACCCCGGCCGGCGGTTCTCGTTTCGCCGTCGTACCCCCTCCGCCGCCCCCACCCCCACCCGCCGCCGCCGCCGCCGCCGCCGCCATCGCGATCGACGAACTCCACTCCTGCGCGATGCGCTCCTTCACCTCCGGTATCAAATCTTCCGGGTACCGAATCCCGACGACTTTCGTGCCGTCCTCCGCGACCACCTTCACCGCGCGCATCCCGCGATCGCTCTTGTTGAACCGGTGCTCGTGGCGTTCCAACACGCGTTCGAGGACGCCCCAGGCGGGCACGACGGCGCCGCTGAGGATGCAACACCGCACCGCCCTGCTCCCCGCGGTGCACCCGGCGCCCCTCTCGCACGTCGCGCCGTGCATGCACTTGTGCTCCGTGAGCTCGTACGTCGCCGTCCACGGCGCGCACGCGGACGCCTCGTCGCGCTCGTCGTACTTGACGTACTTTTGCGTCAAGTCGTCGACGTCCATCTCGAAAAACGACGCGCCGGTGTTGGGCCGCCAAATCCCGAAGACGTTCTTCGCGCCCACCTTGGCGAGCGCGAGGACGATCTGCGCGCGTCCGAACATCTCGCGTCGCATGCGATAGAACCCGTCGCGCGGGTTCCGCCGGTTCGCGGCGAGGATTCCGAGCGCGACGTCGAAAGAGACGCCGCGGTCGATGAGCACGCGCGTCCGCTTGAGTTCGGCGCCGCCCAAGAGCTTCCCGCCCGAAGCGCCGCCGGAAGAGCCGCCGTTTTTTCCCTCGCCGCTGTCCTTCAGGACCGTCCGCGTGGACTCGATGCGAATGTTCGAGCCGCTCAGATCGCTGACGCCCTCGCTGTACTTCCCCTCCGCTTTCGCGGCTTTCACCTCCGCCTCGAGCACCTCGGTGAAGTACCCGAAGAGGAGGTTTTGCCCGCGCACGGGGAGGCCTGAGGGCCATTCCATACAAAGCGACGTCGGGGTGGAGTTGAAAGGCGTCAGTTGAAGTTGAAAGGCGCCGAGGGCGGAGATTGAAAGCGAGGTGTGAGCGGAGAGAGACGCCGGGAAATAAAGTCCTTAAGGATCGGCGTTCACCACGCCAACGCGGTCGTATGGGGACCAGTGTATGGGACGCACCCAAGATTCGGTTCAAGAACCGTCGGACGTCGCCCGCGTCCTTCGAAGAACCGCCGGCGCCTCCTCCCGACGTCTCCTCCAGCGCGAGCCGGCGCTCCGGGTCTAAGCCCTCGGGGTGCAGACCGACCTGAACGCCGAGGTCGACGACGAGCGCGCGAAGCTCCGCGTGCAGCGCCGCGACGCCCGCGCCGGCGCGGCTTTTTTCAAGCTCGAAGATTTCATCCGCGGTCAGCCCTCTCTCCTCCTCGCTCGCGTCCGCCTCCGCGCGCGGGTCCAGGTGCGCCAGCACCGACGCGAGCGTAACCCCCGTCGGAAGCGGCGTCCTGATCAACAACAGCGCGTCGTAGGTCTTCTTGAGCGCGCGGCGACCGAGCGGAGAGTCGAGGTCGCCCTCGCGTAAGTCCACGCCCGTCGCCGCGCGTCTGTCGCCCCTCGTCAGCGCCCCGAGCGATTGCAACCGACGCGCGACGGCGGCGGCGAACCGTTTCTCGCCCCCCAAGTTCGTGCTGCACATCGCGTACATCGGCCCGGAGGTTTGGTTCGATCGGTGCGTCCGCCCGAGCTGCTGAATCGCCTTGTCCGCGCTCCACGGGAGTTCGATCGTGACGTGGACTCTGCGTCGTCGATTCCCCGCGTCCTCGCGCGCGTGCAGCGATATCCCCGTGCTCGCGGCGTCGCTTATGATCGCCACGAGCTTCGCGCCGCTCATGAAGAGCTCTTTCTCTTTGAGGTTCACGCCGTCGACTTCGCCGTCGCCGGCGATGGACCCGGCGGCGGCGCGGCCGCTCGCGGCCCTCGCCTCGCCGCGGAGCTCGAACGTCAGCTCGCCGCCGTTTTCGCATCCGTCTCCGTCACCGTCGTCGCGCTCGCGCTTCTTCTTCGACGCGCGCACGACCCTGCCGCGTCGTCCGGTCATCTCCGCGACCGCGTCTTTCCCGCCCAGCGCGTCGATGAGCTCGTCGAGGAAGTTCGGCGGGAGATCGAGCCGCGACGTGCGTTCGAGGAGCGCGTCGCGAGCGGCGACGCACTCGGCGTGTTCTCTGAGCGCCGGCGTCGCGGGCGCGGGCGGAAGCAGATACCCGGGATGCGGCTGCGGCGGCGGCGGCGGCGGCGGCATCATTCCGTTCGGGAGCATCGTGGACCCCGGCGGCGGCATCATCATTCCGTTCGGCAGCATTCCGCCGTACTTCGCTACTAACGAGTACCCGTCGAACCCGCCCCACGGGTTCATCCCCCCCATCGCGTCGAAATTCATCGACGTCTGGTTTCGCATCCCCGGCGCGGCGACGTCCACGACGTGCGTCGGGAAGTGAGTCCGTATGAACCCTCGGAGCATCTCGCGCGTCGTGCTCACGAAGTCGCTCAGTCTCGCCCCCGGCGTCAGCTCCAGCGCCGCGTCCGCGGCCTCGCCCGTGGTCTGCGAAGCGATATTTTCGGGGTGGAGTTGAAAGACGTCAGTTGGAGTTGAAAGGCGTCGAGGCGGGATTGAAAGCGTGGGATGGGCGGGGACGATCGAAACCACGGGACGGGCGCGGAGAGAAATAAACGCGACCGGGACGCGCCTGCAGCCCGATCACGACGCACTTCCCCTCCTCCAGCGCGCGCTTCGCCTCCGCGACGACGGTCGGGACTTTGATCGACACGCACATGAGCTTGAAGAACCGCTGGTGCGCGCTCCAGTACGCCTTCTTCGCGGCGCCGACTTGCCCGGCGTCCGCGCGGCACTCCTGCAGCGCCTGAGCGCGTCGAAAAATAGTGTGTTCATCGGTCAGTTGAAAGGGGCGCGATCGAGTGTTGAAACCGAGCGGCGGGTGAAAATTGTACAAAACGTTCGCACAGAACGCGCCTGCGTCAGGCACGCGCGAAGCGTCGTCATGAACGCCGCGGCGTCGTTGTACATCCGCGTCTGCGCCGTCGTCAGCGTCGCCTCAATGTTCGTGAACTCAGCCTGGCGGAACGACAGCCCGCGGCTGACGTATTTACCGCTCGCTTTCATCTCCATGGCGAGCATCTCGAGGAAGCCGACGCCGCGATTTTTCATCGCGGACATGAACTTATCGGCATCCGCGAATGGCGTTCCGACGCCCCAAAACCCCAACCGCTGCATGTACGCCATGTTCCCGATCTCGCTGATGCCGGTCGCGGACAGGTACACGACCCTCGCGTTCGGGCATCGGCGCTGGAGCTCGATGACGCACTGCGCGACTTTCGTGCCGCCGTCGCCCGACGTTCCGGAATTTTTCGCCTTGTGGCACTCGTCGAAGAGGACGCATCCGTCCGCGTCCGCGCCTCCGAACCACTCCACGATCTGGTCTAACCTGCTTCGTTTGCTCGTCCTCGAGACGAGCGTGGAGTACGTCAGGAACAGCACCCCCTCGCGCTTCTCGCGCGGCGTCTTGTCTTTATCCAGCTCGCCGCAGTTGTTGATGACTCGGAGGTAGCATCCTGACAGTCGTTTCGTCGCGCGCGAGGCGACGTCGGGGTGGAGTTCAGGGGTGCGTCAGAAGCGGAGTCGAAAGGCGTCGAGATGTGTCGGGATCGAAAGCGAGGGGTGGGCGGAGAGCAACTACCGCCGGGAGAGAAGAAAGTCCTTAAGAAACGGCGTGCACCGCGCCGACGCGGTCGTACGGGGACCGGCGCGAGATGGGACGCGCCCAGGTCGCGCAGATCTCGCTCCGCGTCTCGGTGCAGGTCGGCGCTGGAGGACAGCCACAGGTGCTTCTTCCGTCCGCGCGCGTAGTTATCCAGCACGATCCCGCCTATCTGCCGTCCTTTCCCGACGCCCGCGCCGTCGCCGATCATGAACCCGGCTCTGCAGCCGTCGGGGAGAATCTCGCAGTGTTTCTGACACGCGTAGGTGACGCCCTCGAGCTGCAGTTTCGAGAGCTTCCCGCCGTCGACGACGTCGTCGCCGATCGCGTCGACGAGCGGGTACGTCGCGGGCGGGAGCGGGATGGACGCGAGCGACGCCGCCTCCGCGATGTCCCCGGGGTGTTCGATGCCGCGCTGTGGGAGGGAGGAGGGGCGAGGGGTTGCGACGCGCGCGTGAGATCGCGTCGCGAGCGTTTGAAAAAAAAAAAACACGATGTTTAGACGACGACGACGACGACGACGACGACGACGACGACGACGACGACGACGACGCGCCGAGCGGGCGGAGGACGCGACGCACGTTCAGCGTGCCGCACGTGTACCCCGCGAAGACTTTCCCGATCGTCTCCGAGACCGTCTCCGCGCCGCCCACCTCCGCGTCCGCGGCGGCCTTGAGTCGCTCCGCCCTGGGGTCGTTCCATACAAAGCGATGGCGGGGCGGAGTTCATAGGCGTCAGTTGGAGTTGAAAGGCATCGAGGGCGGGGATTGAAAGCGAGGGATGGGCGGAGAGATGCGCCGGGCAAAGTCCTTAAGGATCGGCGTTCACTACGCCAACGCGGCCGTATGGGGACCAGTGTATAGAACGCACCTGGCTCTCGCTTTCGCGGCGTCGTCGGACGCGGACGTTGTCGACGGATCGGAGCGCGGCTCGGAGAGGAGCGCCGCGCGCGCGGCCGCGACCGCGGCCTGCGCGCTCATGACGACGCTCACGCGGCCGCCCCGGGCCGACCCCTCTTCGCGACGCGCAGTGGCGGACGAAGAGGGGACGGACGGCGCGAAGTCAGCGTTGATGAAATGTCTCGGACCTGGAGCTCGACGAGCTCGACAGGACTTGATAGACTTGATGACGCGTCAGGTAGTGTAATAAACGTGTGCGCGACTGATGACACTCTGCCGCCGCCGCGAGTCTTCGCCGAACGCGCGGCGCGATGGTGAACGCTTCGCTTTTTACAGTCAATCAGCCTATCGCTTTCGCGTCGCGGTCGAAATAATCGCGTGGTCTGGTCCGACCCCCGCGGCGTGGAGTCGTATAACGTCCATCCGTTCGAGCCGAATCATTTCACATCCATTCGCGCACCCTCCATTCACGCCCACGCGCCCCCCTCCGCGCCGTAAAAGTCGTTGATGTACTTCAGCGCGCTCTCCTCCACGACAACCTTATCCGCGTTCAACACGTCGTACACGTTCAGGTGCGAGATGTCGCTCTGCACCACCTTCGCCATGTTACGCGTCGACAACTTCACCGCGTCCGACGCGTCCTTCGTGATGACGTACGCTTTTTCGCCCTCCTCGACGCCCCACGCCTTCAACGCGTTCGCCATCGTCTTCGTCTTCGCGACGGACACGTTCGCGCCGAGGTCGTCGACAACGATCATGCTCCCCGCCGCGCTCTGAATCGCCGTCGCCATCGCGAGGCGGCGTTCTTTCTTGTTCATCTTGATCGACCAGTCTTTTGGTTTGGGTCCGAACGAGACGCCGCCGCCCGGTTTGAGCGGCGAACGAATCGACCCCGCGCGCGCGTTGCCCGTGCCCTTCTGATTGAACGGCTTGCGCCCGCCGCCGCGGACTTCCGACTTCGTGAGCGTGCTCGCGGTCCCTCTGCGCGCGTTCTGGCGCACCATGACGACGTACTTGTGCACGAGGCCCTTCGCGACGTCGGCGCGAGCCGTCTTGAGGGTGAGGTCCGCGGTTGATTTCGTCGCGCCGTCGAACGACACCTTTTCGACCGCGGCGGCGAGGACGTCGACCGGTCCCGTCGCCTTCGCCGCGGCTGTTGGAGGGACGAGGGGGAGAGGAGGGAAGGGGTGGGGTGCGAACGGTCAGCGACGGCGGGCGTCGCGCGGGCGGAGGACGAGGCAGGAGGACCGACGACGCGAGCGAGCGCGTCCATCGTCCATCGTCCATCCGATCCCTCCTCGGGCGAGGGCATTGGTGGTGTGGTGGATAACGCCGTCGTCGACGCGCGCGAGACGCGACGCGCGCGACGCGAGGGGCGCGCGGCTCATCGACGTCGCCGCGCGCGCGTCCTCGAGACGCCATCGCGACCTCGCGACGCGCGTTGGGAGGGCGGCTCGCGCGTCGCGCGTCGCCCAGCGCGCGCGCGGCCGGGGCGGGCGCGGAAACAAACCCTAGCCCTGGACGCGTCGACATCGCGTCCATCACCGCGGGGAATCGACGGCCGGCGCGCGGGGACGGAGAACGACGCGCGCGGGGAGAGGCGACGCACCAGCGCGCGCGCGGCGAACGGGGACCTTCGCGCCCGCGACGGCCGAGCGGGCGGACAGAGAGAGCGAGACGGAAGACATGTTCCGCGCGCGTTGTCGAGTGACGCGCGGCGCGCGCTCGCGGCGTCCGTGACGGACGGCGACTCGCGAGAAGGACGCTGGAAGCGGTCGGTCGAAACGAGGCTTCATGCGCGCTTCAAAATCGCGCGCAACGGAGTCATCACACGACCGTCGCGCGTCGCGCGCGCGCACGATGACGAGCGCGGGCGTCGTCTCCGCGGCGCTGAACGACACGAACGGTGCGCGTTCGCCGCACTTCGTCGGCTCCGTCTCTCCCCCTCCTCCGCGCTTCGAACGACCGACTCCGGTCGTCGGTCGCGTCGCGCGCGATCTCGCTCCCCTCCGCTCTTCTCTTCGCGCGGGCGGCGAACCGAAATCGACCTCGCCCGTCCTCCCCCCACCCCACACCCCGCAGGCATCGTCGAGCCGATCTTATCGCACCTGCATCGGCTGAAAGACCTCGACGACGACGCGACGACGCTCGCGAACGGCGTCCGCGCCGCGGTGGACGCGCGCCTCGAGGACGACCGATCTGGGAAACGTCGAAGAGCGGTCGCCGACGCGGCGGACGCGTCCGTCCGAGCGGACGCCGCGCGATGCGCGCGCATCGCGGACGAGAAGGTGGCGCTCGCGCAGCGATGCTATGACCTCGTGGACGCGCACATCACGCGCCTGGATAAGGACTTGAGGGCGTTCGACGCGGCGTTGGCGACGAGAGAAGCCGCGGAGGCGGCGGCGGCGGGCATCGAGGCGCCGACGCCGTCCGCGCCGGCAGTCGGAGGCGGCGGCGGCGGCGGCGCCGACGGGGGGGGTGCCGAGGCGGGTGCCGAGGCGGGCGGCGCGAGCGTGAACGACGCGCCCGCCGTCTACGGCGACGGCGCGCCCGTGGACCCGAACGAGCCGACGTACTGCGTGTGTAAGAGGGTGTCGTTCGGCGAGATGATCGCGTGCGAGAACGAAGACTGCGCGATCGAGTGGTTCCACTTCGCGTGCGTCGGGCTCAGCAGCGACGCGACGCACAAGGGGAAGTGGTACTGCGAGACGTGTAAGGCGGAGTTGCGGAAGAAGAAGAAGGAGGAGGAGAAGAAGCAGAAGGAGAAGGAGAAGGCGAAGGGCGGGGGTTGATCAGAGAAAGAATAGAATGTGACAGAATGTCGATCGAATCCAAACTCGCGGCGACTCGCGATTGCTAGCGCTGGCTGCGCTCGTACTCGAACCCGCGGCCTTTGTCCCTCTTCATCAGCCCACCGCCGCCTCCCGAGATGAAGCTCCGTCGCTGGCTCCCGGACCCGCCCGCCGCGGGCCCGCCAGCCTCCCACGCCTTTTGCTCGCGCGTCGGTCCCGTCGGCCGCGTCTCGCGCAAATCGTACTCGTGCGAGTGCGTCAGCATCTTGTACATGCCGTTCTGATCCGCGTACGTGGACTGCCGCCGCCCGTGCACCGGGTCTTTTCCCTTCAGATCCAGCCACCGATCGCCGAACAGCTCGGACGGGTGCGAGCGCTTGAAGAACGTCGGCTGCTGCTCCGAGATGTACTCCTGCAGCGAGTCGAAATTTCGCCGAACTTCGCACGGCGGCGGGATCGGCGCGCGCAACCCGCTGCCGGCGCCGTACCGCCGCCACGCGTCGCCCTTCGAGTCCAACCGCTGGTCGCTCGCGCGCTCGCGCGGCGGCAGCGAATGCATCTGCGTTACCCCGAACAGGTTCCCGCGGCCCTCCAGCCCCGGAATGCCGGGTTCTATACAAGCGAATATCGGGGTGGAGTTCATAGGCGTCAGTTGGCGTTGAAAGGCATCGAGGACGGGGATTGAAAGCGAGGGACCCTGGGCGGAGAGATGCGCCGGGAAAAGTCCTTAAGGATCGGCGTCCACCTCGCGAACGGGGTCGTATGGGGACTAGTGTATAGAACGCACCGTCCCGCATCGACGTCTTGTGCGGCTTCTTCTCGAGCTCGTAGTCGCCCCCCGTCACCCCCGGCGGCCGCCTCTGCTCCACGAGCTCTCGCATGCGCTCGCCGCCGCGGTAGTCCTTCCATGAGCTCTCTCCCTTCAGAGATAGCTTGCCGTGCGGGCCGTAGTCCATCTGGACGTGCTGCGTCCCGCGCCAGCGCTCCCATTCCGCGTTCGCGAACTCGTTTCCCGTCGGCGCGTCGTACTGCGTCAGATCCGCGGTGTGTCGGTTCCACATCTTCTCCCCCGTCTCCGTGTCGCACTGCCGGAAGTACCCGGGAATCGCCGCGTCCGGCGCGAGCGCGTTGCCGTCCTCGTCGACGTACCGCCCGTGCATCGTGTACTTGAGGTTGTTCCAGTGCTTCGACTCCAGCGTGTATTTCGGCGTCGTCCCCGCCAACGCGGCTTCGCGTTTGATCAGTCCCGCGGCGAGCTTCTCCTTGACGAACTTGTGCACGTCGCGCTTCGTCGGGTCTCTCAGCGAGTCGATCGTGTACTGGAACGCGTGCGCGCGATTCTTCTCGAACGCGTCGTAATCGTACGCGAGGCACTCGTCCAAGAACAAGCCGCTGCGATGGTTGTACTCTTGCTTCTCGCGGTCCCTCTCGTAGTACTCGTCGTGATACGCGCGCAGCCGATCGGACAACTCCTCCGGGTCGATCGCGTCGACGTGCGCCTTGACCTGCCTCTGAATGCGATCGAAGACGTCGCTCTGCCACTCGTCGTGGATCTCCTCGCGCTTGCGCTCGTACGCCGCCCGCCGCTTGTCCACCATATCGTCCATCTCGTGGAGGATCCCGCTCGGGGTCTCCGCGTCCTTCTTGACGCCGTCGATGCCGCTCATGACGTCGTCCAGCATGCTCTCGAACCGCTCGTGCGCGCGCACCGCGCGCTCCATCTTTTTCCGCTGAAACGCCTTCAAGATGTCGTCCTCCATCTGCGCGTATTTCGCCTCGCGCTCTTTCTTCTCCGCGGCCCAGAGCTCTTCTTTCTTCGTCGGCGTGCCGAGCCATTCCGCCGCCTCGGCGTCCTCGCGCGCGCGGAGAGAGTCCGCCTCGCTGTCCGGCTCCGAGACCGCGGCGTCATGATCCTCTCGCTCCTCCTCCTCCTCGGCGGCCGGAGAGGCCGCGTCCCTCTCCGCTTCTCCTTCTCCCCCCGCCGACGCTGCCGAAATAGACCCCGCGGGATCGGGCTCTTCTGCCATCGGCGAGTCGTACGGCGACGGCTCGTCCTCGCTGTCGCTCTCGGAGTCCATCGCGTACTGCGCGTCCGGGTCGGACGATCGCGCTTTTTTCTGAAGACCGCGGAGACGCGTCGAGACGGAGGGAGGAGGAGGAGGAATCGGCGGGTCGGTCATCAGGGACGCGGTCGATCGAGCGGGGGAGCTCGATCGAGAGAATTAAAATTAATAACTTATCGACGACGGACGGATGAATTGGCGCGCGCGAGGACGGATCGCGCACCTTGTTCCGAGGGTTCGGCGAGTCCGCCGCGCCGAACGCGTCGTCGTCCTCGCCCGAGATGAGCGCGCTCAAGCGCGTGTCGTCGTACACGCGCATCGTGTTCGCGTCCTTCTCTCCGGGAGACGCGCACCGACCCGCGAACACGGACGCCGACATCGTGGATTAATTAAATGTATTAATTCTCGCGGCACGCGAGCGGACGTGTCGGACGGCGAGCGGACCGAGGACGCCGCGCGCGCGTCGACGTCGCGTCGGAGTCACGCGGACGGACGGACGGACGCGAGGGTCGTCGCGAGGGCCGGCGCGGCGTCTCGCGACGGGCGGCGCGAAGTGACGAGAGGACGCGCGCGAGCGGCCATTTTAGGGACAAGCAGAGTGCCGTAAAATCCTAAAATTAGCTTCTTGTATGGCACGCAGTCAGGAAAGTACGTGCGAACGTACCGTACTCAAGCTTCGATATGATATTCGACCGACCAGACGAACCTGACAGAAAAGACTTCGACCGGCGACGCGACGGGACGATCATTCGAAACGTTCGCTCGTCGCCGCGCGCCCCGCGCCGATGACGACGCACGCCGTCGTCGGCGTCGGCGGCGGCGTCGACGCGCGCGACGCGAAGCGCCCGAAGCTCGAGGGCGGCGGCGGCGGCGGCGGCGGCGGCGCGCGCGCGGACGCCGCCGTCGCGGCGACGTGGGATCCGACGGCGGGCGCCCCGGGAATCGCCGCGCGACGACCGTCCGACGACGCAAAGCTCGAGCGCGCCGCGCGCCTGTACGCGCCGCTGCCGCTCTGCCCGCGCGCGCGCGCGTCGATCCCGCCGCCGCGCCGCGCCGCCGCGACCGCGTCGCTCCCCGGGAGCCCCATCGACGACGCGTCGCGAACGCGAACGACGCGCGCGCGCGGCGTTCTCTCCTCCTACGCGATCCCCGCGTCGGTCGACGCCGCGGCGTCCAACCCGCGCGGCGCGCACACGGACGACGAGGACGAGTCCGACGTCGTCGCGCGCGGGCGCGCGTGCGCGAGCGCGCTGCACGCGATGCCGTGCGTCGAGCTCGCGCGCTCGACGCACGCGCAGCTGATGACGGCGGCGCGCGCGTCGTGCGGCGGCGGCGGCGGCGACGAAGGTGAGACCCGCCGCTTCCGTTCGCGCGGTGAACGCCCGCCGTTTCTTACTTAAGGCGTTCTCTCGCGCGCTGTGAACCTCACGCTTTGACACGTGGGAATGATATCCACCAATCGCATCACCGCGTGACTGACGCGTATCTTCCCTCGACCAATGATTGACATCGCAGTCGACGGATGCGTCCCGCTGGTGCGGCCGCTGCTCCTCGCGCACGCCGCCGCGGACGCGACGACGCTGCGCGACCGCGCGGTGGACGACCGCAGGACGCAAGCGAAGCGGCGAGAGAAGGAGCAGAAGAAAGCCGGCGGCGGCGCCGCCGCGCATCGCGACGGCGCTCAACACGGCGGGAGAGGAGGGAGGGGCGGCGCGGGGCGGGGGCGAGGAGGGAGAGGGAGAGGGAGACGGCCGCAGAGGGAGCGAGAGTCGGGGGCGGGGTTGTACGCGAGGGCGTACGGGGGGCGGAAGCGCGAGAGGTTGGAGCCGGAGCCGGAGCCGCCGGCGGCGGCGGCGGAAGGCGAAGGGGAGGGCGAGGGCGGGGGCGTGGAGGAGGAGGAGGAGGAGGAGGAGGAGGAGGTCGAAGAAGAAAATGACGTCATCGACATCTCCGACGACGGCGACGACGACGACCGCGAGAACGACCCGGACGCGAGCTCGGATCACGGCACCGTGGACATTAGCACCGACGAGGACGAGGACGTTTGAGTTAGCGTTCGAACGAAAACGTACGACATGATAGCGTCGTAATACCGGAAGTACTACAGTATTTTACGACGCCCGGTCCGGTCGGCGTTTGCGTTTCGCGTCGGGTGCCGTGTGCGAACTCCTCCACGAACGAATCGTCGCGCGCGGACCATACCGTCGCGCGCGCGGCGTCGCGACGCGCCGACCCTCGCGGGACCCCCCCCCCCCTCGCGATGGCGTCCGCGACGGCGTCCTCTCCTCCTCCCGCGCGGCACGCGCTGACGCCGACGTCTCCGATCGATAAGGCTGTCGTCGTCGCCGTCGCCGCGCTCGCGTCCACGGTCCCGGCGTGCTTCTTCGACCGCGAGATTCTCTTCACCTACCATCCCGTCTTCATGACGCTCGCGTTCGCGTGCTTCGCGACGATCGGGGCGTGGATCGCGGCGAAGACGCGGTCGATCCCCGCGGGGCCCGCGCGCGTCAGCGCGCTGTGGACGCACGCGGGCGTCAACGTCGCGAGCGTCGCGTGCGCGTGCGTCGGAGGCTGGGCCATCTACGCGAACAAAGAGAACAAGGGGCGCGCGCACCTGACGTCGTGGCACTCGTGGGTCGGGATCGTCGCGCTGGGGCTGACCGCGGCGTCGCCCGCGCTCGGCGCGGTCGCGTTCGCGCGCCTCGGGTTGCTCCAGAGCGTGCCGTCGGAGTGGAGGCATCGGGTCAAGTGGACGCATCGAAAAGCAGGCGCCGCCGCGTGGGCGCTCGGGTGCGTACCATCTCACACTGGTCCCCATACGACCGCGTTCGCGTTGTGAACGTCGATCCTTAAGGACGTTTGGGTCCCTCCCGCTCGCGTTTCTCTCCGCCCACCCCTCGGCGGTTTCAACGCTCGACCCCTCGACGCCTTTCAACTCCGACCGACGCGCCTTTCGACGCCGCCCCGACCCGCAGCGTCGCGGCGGCGACGACGGGGTTCCTGGACTCGCCGACGCTCTCGACGTTCGTGGATCCGACGTTGCGCGCGCTGTGGATCGCGGCGCTGAGCGTCGCCGCGGGGGGCGTCGGCGTGCTCCTGTAGCGCGCGAAGTAGGGCTAGCTAGGCGAGGGATTATATAATAAGGCGATGGATTGGAGAATGCAAATCGAGAAAGAATACAACACGCAATCGTTAACAATCGCGCGACCGACGACTCGTCGTCTTCGACGTCACGCGTCACGGCTTCCTCGCGGTGATGAGGTTGAACTTGATCGTCCCGTCCCTCAACCCTTTGCTCATGAGCGGCATCACGAGCCCGCCGCGAATCGTGCTCGGGCCGGCTTTCAGCAGGCCGATCACGCCGCGCCACGTCAGCGCGGTTTCGATCACCGCGCGCCAAAACGGCGACACCTCGCGGCTCCAGTCCTCCGTCCGAACGTCCACCAAGCCCGCGCTCGCGAAGTGCTTCTCGTACGTCGCGACCGAGCACCACGGCGGGAGGTAGTACGCCTCGCAGATGCGATCGAGCAGCGACCTCTCGTCCGGCGGGAGCTCTTTTTCGCTCGCGTCGAGGACCCTGTGGCACCACGTGACGATCAGGATCTGGCCTCCGGGCGCGCAGACGCGCGCGAGCTCGTTCACGAACGCCTCCTTGTCCGGCATGTGCTCGCCGCTCTCCATGCTGTACACGAGGTCGAACGCGGCGTCTTCAAACGGCGTGTGAAGCGCGTCCGCGACCTGGACGCGCACGAGACTCTCGTCGACGTCCGCGGCGTCCGCGGTTATCTCGTTCGCTCGCGCCGCCTGCACCGGGGAGAGCGTGACGCCCGTCGCGGCGCATCCAAACTTCCTCGAGAGGTGCCTCGACCCGCCGCCGATGCCGCAGCCGACGTCTAACGCGCGCTTCACGTCCGTCACCCCCGCCCATTCAAGCGCGTTGTCGACCATGTCCACCTGCGCCTGGCGGTGGTCCGCGCGCGCGACTCCGTTCGGGTAGTACCCGTGATGCATGTGTTCGCCCCAGATATCTTCCCACAGCTCCGAGGACTCGTCGTAGAAGGACGCGATGCCCTCGTTGAGCGCGTCGTGCTTCTTGACGAACGGCGACGCGAGGTCCTCGAGGCCGTTGAACCCGCTCGATGTCGGGACGTTCGTCGCGCGCGGCGTCGTCGGCGTCGGTCTCGAGGTCGAGGACGAGGATTCTTCGGAGGCGCGGCGCCCCCGAGGAAAAAGCGCTTTTCGCATCCTACCGCGAGGCGACGGCGGATTCGCGCGCGCGGTCGTCGTCGCGCGCGCGAATCCGCGCGCGGTCGTCGCGGTGGTCGCGCGCATCGTCCCTCGAGCGGCGAGAGACGCTCGCGAAGGACGGTTCTTTCGGACGCGGCGGGCGAGGGAACGGCGGTGGCGCCGCGCGCGGGCGGAGTGCGCGACGACGACGCGACGTTTCGCGCTTTTCGCGCGCGCCGCGCGCGCCCGCACTGATGAGGGCCATTCCTTTCAAAAACGGTTCACCGGTCAGTTGAAAGTGGACGCGATCAAGTGTTGAAACCGGGCGATGGGTGAAAAACTTTTGTATAGAACGCACCTGAGTTCTTCGAACGAAAACCGTGGACGGCTCGATCGCCCTCCCTTCCGATCACAACCAGCGCGCTTCCGCGCACGCTGCTCGCCATGTCCGAACAAACCGCCGACGCCGGCGCCGCGAAGACGCCCGCGGACTTCTTGAAGTCCATCAAGGGGAAGCAGGTCGTCGTGAAGCTCAACAGCGGCGTGGACTACCGCGGCGTCCTCGCGTGCTTGGACGGGTACATGAACATCGCGATGGAGGAGACGGAGGTGCGCTCGAATCTCGCCCGACTGTTCCCCGTGCGTTACTCGATCGCGCGGCGCATCGCGGTTCTGAAGGACGTTGCGATCGTAGTTTCCTCGATGCGGCGCTTCCGCGCGCGTCCCCCGGCGCGTTCGCGCAGGCGACGCCGCGCGCGCGGTCGAGAGCGATCGACGCAGGCAACCAACCCTAAATAAATGTAAACGATGACGAGTGACATCGTCGTCGAATCCAACCAAATCCCCCGCCGTCCTGATACCCCGCAGGAGTACGTGAACGGTCAGCTGAAGAACAAGTACGGCGACGCGTTCATCCGCGGGAACAACGTGCTGTACATCAGCACGGTGAAGGACAAGTGACGACCTACGATAGCTCCTCCTTAAGTAGCCCTTAGCATCTTTTCTCTTTTCTCGTGATGATGAGTAGAGAAGAATTCAGAGATAAATCTCGTCATCGCCGCCAGTCGAGTGCGCGCGCCGAGAGAGCGATGGCCGCGAGCGACGCGCCTCCTCGCGAGGACGCCGCGGCGCCCGTCGTCACCGCGTCCGACGTCGCGAGTTACCTCCTCAAGCGCGGCAACATCGCGTCCGCGTTCGAATACTACCAGGATCTCATCGACGCGACGAGCCGCGCGCCGGGCGGCGACGGCGACGACGACGACGACGACGCGTCCTCCTCCTCCTCCGCCGCCGCCGCATACGCCGCGCTCGAGGCGTACTTCGCGGACCAGCGCCGGTTCCCGAGCGCGGAGCTCCGCGAGCACGCGGACGTGGTCGACATCCCGGGACTCGTCGCGACGGCGAGGGAGCTCGCCTCGCGCGTCGCCGTCGCGGAGTACGACGCGCGCGTCGCCGCGGAGGACGCGGCGACCGCGCGCGCGGAGCTCGAGGCCTCACGCCGCGCGAGGGCGCTCGGCGGCGGAGGAGGAGGAGGAGGACGCGACGACGCGACGGAGGGCGACGACGACGACGCGGCATCGGGCGGCATCGCGTCGGACGTGTTCGAGCGCGTGGACGGGGAGGAATCGCTGCGGTCGCTCGGCGGCGTCGCGGCGGCGCCCGCGGCGGACGGGTTCCTCAACCGCGACGGCGTCCACGTCGTGTCGGACGACAAGGCACCTACGGCGGAAGACGAAACGTCAACCGGCGCGCCGGTCGCCTTGCCGCCGATGCGCGCGAACGAGCGTCGCGCGCTGAACGTTCTCGTGAATGAGGTGCGTTCTATACACTGGTTCCCATACGACCGCGTTGGCGTGGTGAACGCCATTCCTTAAGGACTTTTCTTCCCGGCGCATCTCTCCGCCCACCCCTTCCTTTCAATTCCCGACCGCGACGCCTTTCAACTCCACCTGACGCCTTTGAACTCCACCCCGACGTTCGCTTGTATAGTACCTACTCTCGCGCGGCTACCGCGCCGCCGCGCTGTCGCTCCGCGACGACGTCGACAGAGCGCACGGCGACGCGCTCGACGACTGGTCGGGCGCGTTCGGCGGACGGCCGCCCGGCGGCGGCGAGGGCTTGCGCAAGGTGCTGCGCCGAGCGCGGACGATCGAGGTGTTGGACCCGCGAAAGTTGTCGGCGTTGGAAAAAGAACGCGACGGCTCGCGCGACGACGCGAACGACGCGAGGCGACGCGCGGAGGACGCGGAGCGACGCCGCGACGCCGCGGAGGCCAAGGCGCGCGCGCTGGAGGAGGAGGCGACGTCGCTTCGGCTGCGGAGGGACGAGAAAGAGGCGGACGCCGCGCGATGGCGCGCGCGAGCGGAGGAGGCGGCGGCGGCGGCGGCGGCGGCGGAGGAGAGAGAAGAACGGCGACGCCGCGCCGCGACCGCGCCGCCGTCCACGCCGACCGCCGCGGTCGCCGCGGTCGCCGTCGACGCGGATTGGACCCCCGCGCTGGTCGGCGCGAAGAGCGTCGGAAGACTCGAGGCGGTCGCCGAGGAGGAGGTCACGATCGGCGTGTTGTGCGACGCGTTGCCGCGCGTGGCGCTCCACGTCCTCGTCCAGAGGCGAGGCGAGCTCCTGCCTCTGTTCCAGCGCGCGATCGCGCGGTGCCCGGAGCCGGAGCGACGCGCGGGTCTCACCGCGCTGCTGTTCGCGCTGATCAAGCGGCCGGGCGCGGATCAGAGGCGGGTCATCGCGGACGCGTGCGCGAACATCGCGTCCATCGTCGGCGACGAGAGAACCGCGGAGGAGCTCGTGCCGTGTTGCTTCCTTCAGGTGGATCACAAACACGAGGAACGCAGGATGCTCGTCGCGGAGACGTGCGGTCGCCTCGCGCCGGTGCTCGGCGTCGGCCTCCGCTCGTCGCTGCTCTTGACGATGCTGCAGCAGCAGGCGGAGACGGACGCGGAGGCGGCCGTGCGCCTGTGCGTCGTGCGAAACCTGCGCGCGTTGCTCGACGCCGATCCGGACGTCTCGAAATCGCACGCGATTGAAAAGTTGCTTCTCGACCTGTCGTTGGACGTCGCGGACGAGGTCTCCGAGGCTGCGGTCGCGACGCTCGCGCCCGCGACGGTCGCGTGGCTGCTGCGTGTGGACGGCGACGCGGGCGGAGCGCGGTTGAGGGACGCGCTCGTGCCCGCCGTCTGCGCGAAGGTGTCGGCCGTGCTGAGCGCCGCGAGCATGGCGGACGGGAGTCACCGACCGCTGACGGAGGACGACTCGTGGCGCGTTCACACGCTGCTGCGGCTGTTGGCGTGCCTCGTGCCCGCGGTGCGGCTCACCGCGCGCGCGTCGGTGCCGAGAGCGTTCGCGTGCGCGAGCGGCGGCGGCGGCGGCGAGGGTGCCGAGGGTGCCGAGGGTGCCGAGGGTGCCGAGGGTGCCGACGAGGAAGCGGCGACGACGTCGGCGCTCGCGGCGTACGTGAAGAAGAGGGCGTTCGAAGACGCTTCGGGCGACGCTTCGGGACCTGGTGCCGAGGCGTCCGCCGCGTCCTCCTCCTCCTCCGAGATGTCGTGGCCCGCGGCGAAGTGGCTGTGCGGCGACGGGATCGCCCTGCTCGCGTCGCTCGCGGTGAAGACGCCGCCGAGGGAGGAGAGCGCGCGGCGGGCGATGCTCGGCGTTCTGAGAGCGTTTTGCGAGGCGGCGGGGGAGGACGTCGTCACCGACGTGGCCGCGCCCGCGTTCGCGGCGGCGTCCGGATTGGTGGAGGATACTGCTGCTGACGTGGATGAACGTGCGGTCCAGAACGCGCGCGCGACCGCGCTGCCGCTGTTCCTCGTCGCGGTGCTCCCGCGCGCGCGCGGCGACGCGCTGGAGCGCCGCGTGAAGAGCCTCCTCGTCGACCCTCCGGTGGGTCCCGCGCGCGGATTCGTGGATCCTCCATCTGACGTGGATCCATCTGACGTGGACAACCCCGCGGCGGCCGGCGTCCCGGAGTACGTCCTCGCCGCGCTCAAGTTCGCGACGACGTTCGAGCGCGCGCGCGGCCGCGTCCTGAAACTCCTCGGGACGCTCGCGGGGGAGAAGAGTGCGAGGTGCGTTCTATACACTGGTCCCCATACGACCCCGTCGGCGTGGTGAACGCCAATCCTTAAGGACTTTTCCCGTCGCATCTCTCCGCCCAGGGTCCCTCGCTTTCAATCCCCGCCCTCGACGCCTTTCAACTCCGCTTCTGACGCCTTTGAACTCCACCCCGACGTCGCTTTGTAGGCGTCGGTCCGCGGCGGCGGCGGCGCTCGGCGCGTGCGCGTCGACGGCGCCCGCGGATGTCGTCCTCGGCGCGATCCTCCCCGTCCTCGCGTCGCTGCGCGGGGATCGAGACGAGGCGACGCGCGGTATGGCCGCGGCGGCGTTCTGCGCCGTCGGCGAGGCGCACCCCGGGGAGGCCATCACGACGCACGTCGCCGCGCAGCTCGAGGTTCTGCTCGAGCGCAGAGAAGACGCGTTGACGTTGAAAATCGTGCGCGCGCTCGGCGGCGCGTGCGTCGCCCCCGGGACGCCCTACTGCGCCTTCGCGTCGCGGTGCATCGCGGAGACGGCGCGCCGCGAGACGATCGCCGCGGTCACCGCGGGCGTGGAGACCGCGACGCGAGGCGACGACGCGATCGAGGCGAACCGCGCGTGGCGGCGGACGTTCGGAGAGGCGGTGTTTCGCGCGGCGAGCGCGATTCTCGGCAGCGACGACGGCCGCGGCGGGACGCACAGCGCGTTAACGCCAGCTCTCGAGGCGTTACTTTCGGATGAGCACGCGCTCGACGCCGCGGAGCGAAGCCTCGCGGAGGCGACGTTGAGGGACCCGGACGTCGCGCGGTCGCCCGAGGCGAAAGCCGCGAGCGGCGGCGTCGAGCGGAAGAAGAGCTACTACCAACGCGCGAAGAAAGCCGTAGGGTTCAAGTCGCCGACGCCGGTCTCGACCTCGACGAACGCCGCCGCGAACGGCGACGCCGGCCCGAAACGGAAGCTGACCATGGAGGAGATGCGCGCCGCGATCGAGGCCGCGGAGGCGGAGGGTCAACAGCTGGCCGGGTCGGGGGCGAACTTGAACGCACAGCAGCCGAACTCGCCCGGCGTCGCGACGGTGTCTTTATCCGAGCTCCTCGACGGAGGCGGCGACGGCGACGGGGGGGACGCCGGCGGGAGCGGGACGACGGCGACCAGCCTCGGTCTGGACGACTCCACGCTCGCGGACGATCTCGAGGACGACGACGAGGAGGTCCGCGCCGCCGCCGCGGCCGCGGCGGCGGTGCTGGCGTCCGGCGGCGCCGTCCCGAGCGCGGCGAAGAAGCGATCCGTCTTCTCCGCGTTCAAAAAGAAGTGAAATAACGGCGGAGGTTGAAGCGTCGTACTACGAAGTGGTATCGTTCTTCACGTTAAGCGAGCGAGCGCGTTACAAATAGTAGCCCTACAGTACTACTAGAGCGAATATCCGCTTCGTGAGCGATCGAACGAATCGATTCTTCGAGTCTTCCGATCGCGTCACGCCACATCGCCTCCAGCCGTCGATCGAATCGAACCGAATCGAATCGAATCACTCGAGGACGACCTTTCCGCCGACCTTTTCGATCTTCTCTCTGATCGCCTCCGCGTCTTCCTTCTTCAGCCCTTTCTTCAACACCGCGGGCGCGCCCTCCACGAGATCCTTCGCCTCCTTCAACCCCAACTCCGTGACCGCGCGCACTTCTTTGATCACCTTGATCTTCTGCGCCGGGTCGAAGGACTCGAGCTTCACGTTGAACTCGAGCTTCTCCGGCGCCGCCTCCGCGGCGGCGGGGGCGCCCCCGCCCGCCGCGCCCGGCATCGCGCCGCCGCCCATGGGCATCATCCCGGGCATCATCATCTGCCCGCCCGTCGGCATCGTGAGCCGCAACTTTTTCTTCAGTATGTCCATCATGTCGTGCACCTCGAGGAGCGTCAGCGAGCAGATGTCGTCGGCGAGGCGGATCACGCGCGGGGAGTAGTCGGGGAACTCTTCGCGATCCATGTCCACGACGACGTCGTCGTCCGGGTCTGCGGCCTCTTTCGCCTCTGTCGCCGTCGCTTCGTCGGGCCCCGCGAGTTTCGAAGACGCGGCGAAACCTCTGCGTGTGAATCCCCTTATCAATCCCGGCGCGACGCCGCCGGGCCCCTCGATCGTCCTTTCGACCGCGACGCGCTGCCAATCTTTGCCGGTCGCGCTTCGATCGCGAGAGGGCGCGCCGCGCGATCCGCCCGCGACGATCGCCGCGCGCGACGCGCTGTGTGTGGACATCGCGCGCGCGGCGACGTCGTCCCCCCCCGCGCGCGTCGCGCGCGCGAAGGAGACGCGCGCCGACGCGACGACGCGTCGTGCTGCTCGTCGAGACGCCATCGGTGTGTGACGTCGTCGCCGCGCGTCGACGCGCGACGCGAAGAAAACTTTGCCGCAAACCCTCGCCCGGCCGCCAATTCAGGAATTGCGGTGCGTCGCGACGCTTCGTACGGAATTCGTACGGGGACCAGTCACGCGATGCGCGTACACGTGTACTCGTACGCGCGCGTCGAAAAGGGGTCATAAAAGCCCGAAACCGTCGGCGTCAACGCTCAATACTACATCCTCGCTCCCGCGTCCTGCCGCGCCCTCCGACTTGCGCCGCGCGATACGCCGCGATGGCGTCGTCCGCCGACGTCGCGACGCCGTACGAGCAGCCGCATCACTACTCCAAGCGCGCGCCGAGCGCGGCGCCGTCCGCGGCGACGCGCGCGCGCGCCGCGGTCGCCGCGCGCGTCGAGCGCGACAACGCGCACGTCGCGCGACGACTCGCCGAGCTGCGCGAAGAAGGTCCGTCGTCGTTCCACGCCCCGGACGGCGCGGCGTCGCTCAAGACGACGACGACGACGACGACGGCGCGGCGGCGCGCGAGGCGAGCGGCGGCGTCGTCCTCCTCCGCGGCGTCGACGAGGACGTCGTCGTCGAGGGCCCACGACCGCGGCGTGGACAAGGACGCGACCGCGCGGAATTCGTATCCGTCGACGCGGTCGTGGCCTCCGCGACGAGCGCCCGCGTTCGACGGACGCCTCCGCGCGGAGCGTCTCCGCGTCCGCGAGGGGAACCGCGCGCTGCGAGAGATGCTGGTGAATCAGCACAAGGCGTCGAGGGACTCGCAGCTCGTGCGCGAGGGCAAAGGACGCCCGGTGGACGGGCTGTCCATGTGGAGGAAGCGAATGCAGCTGTACGACGATCGACCTCCGAATCTCGCGGGGACCGTGGACGAGGACGGGAAGTGCGTCGCGACGGGCGTCCCGAAGGCGATGGCCGTCGCGCGGTGCTCCGCGACGGGGCTGTACACGTACTTCGGCGCGGACGGGCACAAGCTGCGCGAGCACCGCGAGTGTCCGGGGCTGTTTTACTGGTGCGCGTCGTCCGCGGAGCGTTCGCACTCTGCGTCCGGTCGATATACTTTTCACCCGCCGTCCATCTCTTCCGTCAGTTTCAAAGTCGATCGCGGTACCGTTCAACTGACCGACACGTCACCGATCAAAACGCACGCAGCGACGAGTGGTTCGACGAGTTCGCCGCGCTCGACCGCGTCTCGCAACGCCAGCTCGTGGACTACTACTCCGGTCGCACGCCGTCGTGGCACCCCGCGCGGCCGCCGACGGAGTCCTGGGTCGTAAACCGGCACATGAAGCTCGGTCTGAGCATGATGCGTCGCATGGCGAAAGGGGACGATTCCGTCACCGTCGAAAGCATCAAGGAGGCTGTGGCGAAGTGTAAGCTCCGAGAGCGCCTGCTCGATAAAGCCGAGGCGAAGAAGAAGAGCGAGATGGACGCGCTCGCGAGGGAGGAGCGGCAAGCGGTGAGCGCGCAGCGCGTCTCGGGCCCCGCGGAGAGCGCGGAGGCGGCGTCGCGGGAGCCGAGAGAGGACGCGGGGGGGCGAGGAAGAAGCGCGTCGGCGTCATCAGGGAAGGATGAGAAACGCTCCGTCGCCGCGCCCGTCGCGAGCGGCGACGCGACGACGAAGATTTCGACGAAGATTTCGACGACGACGAAAACGTCGTCCGCGGCGAGTGGCTCCGCGAAGCGCACCGCGACGAAGACGTCGAGCGGCGCGGAGACGTCGCGGACCGCGACCGCCGCGGCGGCGCGAGATTCCGCGCGGGCTGCGTAATAAATTAATTTTCTCGCAGAGAGCCTTTTTCACGCGTAGAGATAGGCGCCTTCGTCCGCGGCGCACAACAGCATGTTGTGCCCGCACGCCGTCATCGACGTCACCGCGCTCTTCCTCCCTCCGCTCGCCTCCATCACGCGCTCGAGGACCCAGATCTGATCCCCGGAGCCGTCCAGGTCGCGGTACCCGTACGTCGCAACGCGGCCGTCGGAGAGACCGGCGGAGATTTTTTCCCTCGCCACGAGCAGCGCCTTGACGCCGACGCCCTTCACGTCGAGCGTCGCCGCGTCGACGGACGTCACCAAACGCGCCGCGATCGGCGCGGTCGCGATGTCCGGGACCCGCGGGTCCGCGCTCCAGCCGTACGTCGGGGGCGGCGGCTCCGTCGGTTCGGCGGCGGCGGCGTGGGGGCGCTGCTCGTGGGGGGGGAAAAAATCGCCGCCGGTCTCGCCGACGGCGGCGTTGCGACGTACGGGTACCGCGACCTGGACGGCTCTGGGGATCAGATCCGGGTCCTCGAGCGCGTGATGGAGGCGAGCGGAGGGAGGAAGAGCGCGGTGACGT